GCTTTCCTGTAACTTCCGCTTTAGTACAACCTTCCATTTTCAGAACTTCATTTCCCTATAAAGAAATCTGGGAACTTGGCCTGGAGAATGATTACATATAGAATCACTCTAGCTACATGTTTGGGTTAAAAAAAATGAAGGCAATAGAACTTGCAGTCAAAACTTCAATTGATATTTTGCATTCTGCACTTAATTCTCATCAGTTTGTTTACTTGTGTGTGGGCCGGAGGCATTATATTAATTTAATTCCATTTACATGAATACCACACACACACAATCTTCACTACTAGTGCATTTTTCCCATTAAGACTGGTTTCTACAAATCATGTTTTGTTCACTGAGACTTTTCTTAGTGGGTATACTCTTGTTACTCAAATGGATACATTCTAACATTTGCCTACACAGCAAAAGTATCCAAAGCTGAAAAACAGCAGAAAAACAAGTCAGTTCAGAACTACAGAACATTACCTAAACTTCTGTTGAACATTAACAAAATTTTCTCTTAACTACTACAGATACACCATTACATCTGACTCTTTCAGATTAAAACACACACTGCACAATGGTCTTTTCTTATATAAAAGTGTGATTACAACTCCACTTTTGATATTCTAAAATATTTTCAAGTGGGCTACTTTCTGCGACCTCTAGAAAAATTAAAGCAGCTTTTCCCTCTCCCTTCAGTTGACCTGACCCAGTTGGAACCATTTCTGAAAAATGTACTTATGTTTGATCCCTATGCACGTTTACTGGAGAATGTGAAAGAACCACTGTAGTATAGAAAGAGGCAGTGTTTCACAGTGGTCAGAGCAGTTCAGAAGAAAACTTGGGAGAGCTGGGTTCTGGTCTCCACTTGACCACGAAGGTCACCAGATGACTTTGGAACTGACTCCCCTAACCCACTTCACAGGGCTGTAGTCAGGATCAAATGGAGAAAAGGAGGAGAACCATATAAGTTGCCTTGGATTCTTTGCAGAGGAACAAAATAGTCATAAAAGACAAATCAAAACCGGAATTGAACAGGACTCGCTGCCAAATCGGCATGTGCAGCTGTCAGATCTGTGCACACGAACGGACGGGCTGCCCTTTGCGTGCCAGCGGATGGCAAGAACACGCACAGACCTTAAAGGGGAAGGGGGCGAAGATCCATTTTGGGAGCTTCCTCAGATACCCTCAAGCTGGGCGGGGGCGGAGCTTGCGGGACGGAGAGGATGTCGCCCCCTGGCCGGGCTCTCCTCCCCCGGCGCGCACCGCCTGCTCGCGAGGAGCGCCGCGCGCCCGCCGCCGCCGCCGCTCACCTGTCCCGCCCGGAGCGCCAGCTGCACCGCCACCTCCACGCACTCCTTCCAGGGGTCGTCGGCACCGCCGGCGGCCGCCCCGCGCCCCGCGCTGGGCTTCATGGCTGCTCCGCGCGGCGCGCCCGTCCTCTCCCCGCTGGAGCGCTTGCGGCACCGGAGCGGCTGCGGGGAAAGCGGAGGCTCCTTCCTCCGGGCGGCCGGGCCGCGCGCCGCTTCCGCCGCGGGGAGGCGGAGCACCTGCTCGCTTGAGGCGCCGCGCAGCGCCCTTCCTGCTCGCCGCCGCGGCCCGCTCCCCTCCTCGGCTCGCCCTGCCCCTGGGAGGAGGGAGCGAGGCGCCGCCCCGCGGCCCAGTGACGGCGCTGTCTGCCCGTCGAAGCGCGCCGCGGCCGCCCTCGGCCCCGGCCCCCGCGGCGGGCGGGTGCCCATTTTAGGACGCCGTGCGGGGCGGCGGGCGCTGTCGGGGCCGGGTCCCGCTCGCGGTCCAAGATCCTGCGCTCGGCTGCGCGATCGTGCACCGCGCGGGACGTGGCTCGCGGGAAGCCCCGGCGTCTTTTTCGCAACACGCGCCCCCTGCCCTGGAGGAGCGGGGCGCAGCCCGCCTGGCTCCCTCCGCACCCTTCGAAGTTGCAGCGAGCTCTGCGCACGTCTTCGCGGGACAGTTTCTTCCGAGCCGCAGAATAGCGCTCTGATGGTGGTGCCGACGATAATTTACCAGCCAAATGGGCTGAAGGCAAAGCTAGGCCACCTGGCGTTCGAAAGCATGGCACGGTTTTATTTTCTATGCAGAGCAAGAACATGGGCGAGCAATATCGGTTAAATCTGATCCTCAGATTTTGCAAAAGAGGAAGAGCGCGATGCTATGTAACTTTACACAGAAACTCCCGGCATGCCCCAATCAGCTGGCCGGGGCCTGGGGTGGGGGGATTTGTAGGCCTTTTAAAAAATCTAACCTTGCATAAGCGTATGCATGTTTAAACAGAAGAAAAGACAACCCCCAAAACATATGCATAAACTCAGAAGCAGACCCCACTGAACATGGGCAGCAATATTGGTTAATTCTGTTCCTTAAATTTTAGAAAGAGAGGAAGAATATTACAGAAAACATAACATAGTCAAGACCTACATTGGAACATCAGTTTTATTTGGAGTGTAATTTGCTTGTTCTTTCTGCTTTACAAATGCTTACCAAAATAGTTTTATGAGGCACTGTCTTTCCAGAAGACAGAGTGCAAGGACGGAAGAAGTACATTTACTGTTGTTCTGCCTATGAAATAAACAGGTCTCTGGCTTGTGTCTGCCTTGACTACATGCCCAAGTAAAGCTAATCACAAATTAGAAATTTCCTGCACATCAGAAATATGAAGCAAGGCCATCTTAGGTAAGCATGTTCTTGAAGACCTTGCCCCATTCTATGTGGGAAATTTTTGATTTGTATTTTAAGCAAATTACAAAGAGAAACATGCTCCTTCTCACACACACTTCAAAGGGATATTAATATATCCATTCTCATTATTATTTTTAAGAGATACTAATGTATTTGTTTATTTAAGCTTTTATATACTGTTCATTAGTAGCAAGCTCTCATGCATCCATTCCTTGCCAAGCTGATGTATCCATTCCTTGTTTGTGTGATACTGCATGATCTTACACTAATAATTAATGCTATAATTATTTTTTAACTTAATGTTGTAAGCCGCCCCGAGGCTTTGGCGAATGGGGCGGCATAAAAATGTTTTAATAAAAATAAATAAATAATCCCAAAGTCCTTTCCCTACTGCAGCAAACATACTTGTGTACCTCAGGTTTCAAGTTGAAGCATGATTTGTGAATATTCTGTGTAAACCAGAATTATAATAGCTTGTTACTCATAAGAGCATGAAGTCTGGGTTTGTAGAGAACTTTTTATGTTTTCTTCACCGTGTAGAAGTTGTAGGATCAGCTTGTGAATAATAGGTAAATATTTATTCATTATATTATGCTGAATCACAGACAGTTCCTAATAAGGAACTTTTCTAATTTTAGTATTAGCAAGCATCAATGCAGTATTTTTTGGACTATTGTTTATGGTAAACTTGAAAGTACATTCTGAAAGGTTGTATCATAACCCAAGAAGTTCCTGCATCATGTTAGTTAAATGGTAAGAGTTGTATCCAAATTAGTCCTACTTAGAATAGATCCACCAAAATCAATGGGATTTCTATTAGACTAACAGTAGGTACGGTCTATTGGGTACCATCCAAAGGATTCTGAAAAAAGAAGCATAGCTCAGTGGCATTCAGTCATTTCAAATTACTTTTATCTGAGCAATTCAGGTTAGTTCAGCATGAAATGCAGTTGTTTATTAGTTGTTGGACTGTACCCTAATCTACTTTCATAACCTCTAAGTAAAGCTTTCATAACTACCCACTTTCATAACTCCACTTCTAAGTGATAATGCTCATTTTAAATGCTCAGTAAAAACAGAGTTACTTTGATGAACCTGAATGTTGAAGGGCAGTGGCAGAGCCGCCATGATAGGGCACTTGCCCATGCCCATATCCCAGCAAGGGGCTCAACTGTTGACCACCTCACTGCTGTTGGCTGCTGCTGCTGCCTGTTCACCTGCGCGCTCTCTCTCCAAGATGACTGTCATGTTTTGTGCAATTGCCAAAAACCTCATGGTCATGTTGTCTGGAGGCTTCAGAGAGGATGGTCTTCTCTTCCTAATGCTCCCATGTTTTCCCATCACTGGGGCTGCTTTTCTTGCCACAGAAAATCCATGCTATCCTTAGTAGCAGTGACAAAAGTGAAGGAAAGGGACCACAGTTGCCCTGTCTTTCTTGGCAGTGGGATGCTCAGAGGGAGACATTATCATACCATAAAGATATGATAATGGCCAACATGTGTTGCTTCTGGAGGGCAATGACACTTACCAAATCTTTGCTTAAGGGCCCTCCAAAATCTATCACCTACACTGCTGAAATCCACTTGTTTATCCATCTTTCTGTAGTTTCTACCATCTGGAGAATGAATGCACATTATATTTTTATATTCTAATTTAAGTGAAAACGTTATGAAAAGGCAAACTTTTCTGTCTCAAAAGAACTGAAACTGACATTCATTTCCTTTTAACTGGTATGATGTTTCCTTCCTTTCCTGTGATACACTATTTTCCTGTACAAAACGAATACATGCCAGTGTTTTCTGTGCCATCTGGAACACATTATAGTCAATTCAGCCATCCAAAACCATAAATGAATCCCAGGGTCAGAGAAAGGTGAAGCATCTGTAAGCTGAAATCAATGTGGTGATCCTCAGGCAGCAATTGACATCTTTCACAGTAACTGTACACTATGCAGAATGGTTCAGCTGACTTGCAGCTGAAAAATATTTCAGTCTGCTGAATTGTGTTCTTTCTTTTTTTCTTTCTGATTTTTAAAATCAAATATGTTTTTATTTGATAGTTTTAATACTTTAATTAACTTGTCATATTATTTGTATTTAATTGTAGGTGTCTTGAGCACTATTTTGAATAGGGATGTAGAGCATACATTTAATACATAAAGAAATATACAAGCAGAAACTGAAATCAGGAGGGTATTCTAATCAGAATAATACTTACTAAGAAGAGCAGGAGCCAAGGGTTTGGCTGTATTAACCAACCTTCTCCAACCTCGTGCCCTTCAGATATGTTAGATTACAACTCCCACCATGTCCATGCTGTCTTGGGAAGATGGAGGCACCAGCTTGGGAAAGTCTGGTGCAGAGGATTCAAACAAAAGAACAACCAATATAGGAAGAACCTGAGCCAGAGCCAAAGCAGCCCTTTTCCCTGGAATGGCACTTTCATGCTAGAGACCATTAGCACTGCTGAGGCATGCTTTTCCGTAACAATCTTGAAGTGGAATTAAAATGGTGGTTCCTCATAAGCACAAACTGAAATATTAACCTGCAAAATCCTGCAATATTAACTTTGTCTATTGCCGAGAAAATCCTAGTATAATGTCTATGCACAAGTAGGTCCTGCAGTGAAGATTCTCAGCAGTGATAAAGACTGCAATCCTATACACACTTATCTGGCCATAAGCCTTAGGATTTCCTTCAGAACAGACATACAAGGGATAACTGTCTAAAATGTCCACATTTTTCAGTCTGATTTATTACTAATTATGGAACAGCCCTTTAGCTGCCTCTTGAATACTCTCTCCCGATTGCCTCCTATTCTCTGTTTTTATTTTTGTGGTGATGGTGCTATGTAATTGCTAATTTCCATGCATGATTTTCTTCATTTTGTTACTTTTCCTTGAACAGTGAAATGGCTCCACTCAACAACCTAAGTGAATTTATGAACCAACAGACTTATCATGAGGGTATATATTTATTTAAAACATTTCTACCCCAATTTTCTACCATGAGGGCTTCCACACAAAAATAATGCAGTTCAAGCATATACTATAAAGAAAAGATATTAAAATAAAAATCAGGAACAGCATCAACATTCTAAGTATCATATGATATGCTGTAATAAATAAATCTGAACAAACAATGGTTTGATAATTTTGGCAATAATTGGGAGAACATGACAAGTTTATCTTATGCCTTAACTTTGGATTCCCCTGGCTTGAATAGAGCCACAGATAAAGGGGAATATGCTTCTTCCCTCTAAATCTAAAGAGAGGTGCCTTGTGTGGACCAGGCTGTACAATGGTCAACACATTGACCATTGGTAAAAGGTTGGAGTTGATGAGAGCTCAAGTTCAAATCATCTGGAGAGTACCAATTTGGGTAGTCTATTGTAGAGTGTGTTCTGATCTATTTCACTTTCTTTGTGGTTTTCTATGTGATACGGTTATTGAATAATAAAGAGCTAAGCAGACCGTGTGAGATCAAGGCGAAACATATATTAGCTTCCTGGAAATTTTAAAGCATGTATGTATGTTAAGAATAACATGCCTAAAGCTATTTTGCAATCTGCTGCATGTTTAGACAGAAAAAACCCCGGTTGCTCCCAACATTCCCAAGCCTGCAATATCTCATTCTAGCATATTATCCAGTCTAAACATGCATTTGATTGCACTTTAAATAGCTAAAAGCTTGAAAATTCTGTATTAGGTTAATTGAGAACTATACAAGTTTTTGTATCTGACTATTGTGAGGTTAAATTTGTTACTATTGATTAGATCAAGATTTCAATAGTAGTCTTTTATAGTTTATCTTGAAAAAACAAAACAAAACAAAAACTGGGCCATTTTGTTAGCCTGCAGAAAAGTAAGTGGTAGTTTTATTTACATAATGTGTTATCATACAAAATGTTTAGCAACCTGTTTGCTTTTATTCATTCCTGTTGTGAACAATTTTATCTAATGTATACAACATCTTGGAACAAAGTGTTTTTAATGTGTTTTATGTAGCAAAAATAGCTTGCAAACAAGTTTCAATGAAGTTGATTACAGTGTCACCAGGGCCAGACTTTTTCCATGCTTAAACAGGGGAATTACTCTTTCATATTATGCCTGATTGTCTATGGAAGTTCTGGATGTCTTGGAGAACAATTCCATCCTGGTTTGTTCTTGGTCCTCCACCTGCCTTACCTCTGACAAAATTTGGATGAGGAGCAGATCATGTCTAGGCCAGCAGAGCTGGACTGCTCCTGTTTTCCTATAGTTTGTTCTCAGACAGCTTATTTGAACTGCAGGAATTCTCACTGAACAGGGCTTGGTGGAATTTTTATCAACTTCCACAGTATGTCAATGGCAGTTCTAAGTACGAACTGCTTTCATTACACAAGCCTATGATTGTATTTAGATCGGGCTTAATCCAGGCTTAAAGAATGATATGAAAGTCACTTCGTACACCCCCTTCAATTTTGATATTTTGTCATGTTTGATTATACAAATGCTTATGTATTTCTTCATCCAAAAGACAACCATGGCAGTCCAGGAGAAAAAAAATACCTCAAATTTGAGTAATACGTTTCTTAGGACCTACCAATATGCCACCAAGTATGCAAAGTTCTCCAGAACTCCTCACCATGTTAGTTGATACAAAAAGCAGGTGATGTGGGAAGCAATCTAAAATTGTGGGTTACGTTGTATCCATGAGTCTTGCCCTTTTTAGATCCAGTATCCAAATGTAGATTTGCAGACTGAAGCAGGTATGCAAACTTACAGTTAGCCTGGCTGCAGCGTGCTCGACATTGCCGCCTTTTCCCTGTCTAAACCAACCTCACGCTAAATGAAATCGTTACTGATAGGTGCAAGTATCCGATTACACATAGCTACTTAATTCGATCTGTAGCTCTCCATTCTGAGACGGGCTTGGAAACTGCAGACTTTATAGCCACAGTCCCTGCGCACACTCTGGGAACTACTACTCGTTCATGCCCGCTTTCTGTACCACGTACGGGGGATTCGAAATTGCATACGAGCCCAACGACCCTTCAGCGCAACGGACTCCCATCCCCAACGCCCGCGACGACGGCGACGAGGAGACCAATCAGTTCTGTGCTCGGTCGCCATGGAAACTCTGAAGCGGAAGTTCCGAAGGGGGACCTTAAGCTACAGTCACGTGGTGGCAACGTCACGGGCTTCTGTTCCTCAACCTAACACACATTATTCGCGCTCTTCCACTCCCGTGTGTGCATGATGGCTGCCAAGAGCGCCTGTAAAATCGCAGAACTTTGAAATACTCTGGGGGGCGGGCAAAAAAGAGGCGGTCGCCCGCGGGGTGCTGACCTTAACCCTTCCGTCCCCAGTGGCGGGGCGCGCAGGCAGCGGGAGAGCCGGCCCGCGGGGGGGGGGGGCGCTTTTGCTCGAGGTTCTTTTCCCGTGGTTAACGGGCCTGCTGGCTTAAGCCGTTGAAGCCGAAGGCCGCAGGAACGGGCCGCCCGTGGGTCGCCGCTCAGACTCCACGCGCTCCGCCCCGTTGCTTGTGTCGTCGTGCGAGGGGGTGGGACCGCTTAAACCTGTCCGCGGATACTCGGTGTGGCAGGAGGAGTGGATGGCGCTGCCCTCCGTTCACAGGTGCCTCCAAGTGAGTGGCAAGAGGCGGCTTATCTGGGCCCCGGCGGAGCTTCAAGAGGCTTTTGCCGGTGAATACACACGCTTCCGTTGGAGCTGGCATTTAACGCGGACTTCCTCAGCCTTGCGCCATCCAGATGTGCTGGTCTGCCACTGGCAGCTACCTAGGCGGTCCTGGGAATTGTGGCCAGAGCATCTGGGGGTCACCAGGTTGGGGATCCTGCTCTAGAATGAGTTGCACCGTGCTTCGGCGCTTCTCCGATCTCAGGAATGCCATCGCTCCTCCTCTTGCTGTCCCTGCGTGGCAGAGTCCAGGTTGTCAGTTGCACAATTCAGAATCTACATTAACCTGTCTGCAGTGAAGTCATCTGCAGAGGAGCTCATTTGGCCAAGTGACCCCGCAAGTTGCTGGTGGAATCCTCTCGAGTGTATCCCTCTGCTTCTGGCATTTTCTAAAGAAGAATGGTTACTCTTTTGGTCCTAGACAGAAACCTTGTTTATTCTCCTAGGTAGTTAAAATATTTTAATGGCTTAAGTAAGGTTTGTGCTGCTTTACTTTTTTCTTTTGCTATTTTAAAATAGTTCTTATTGTCAATTTTAGGACAGCAAAGCCATTCTGGGAACATTGTAGCTCAAGGTGCAATATATTTAATTAGTATTATTAATTGTTATTCCTTGGTTGGTCTTACTGATTTTATTGTTACTGCTTTTATTGCATTTGATGATTTTATTGCATTGGTTTGTGGAATTGATTATATGTAAGCCGCTCAGAAAGCCTATGGTTTATTGGATGGAATATAAATCAAATAGATAAAGTCCCCAAAGAAGGTATGTTTCACTTGATCCCCCCCCCCCCCCACTCCCCAGCTTTAACCCCTTGTCCATCCAGTGCTGGGAAAATCCTGCATCTGTATTCCTTTAATATAGCTGTAAAAAGAATATAAACTGTATAAAAGGGCGGGGGAGTGGCACCTTAAGGAAAATACATGTAGTTATTGCTTACTTATGCAGTTTCTTAATACAGTAGTCTTCCCAAATGCCCAAGGGAGAAGTGAAGTAAGCAAACTTAAAGCTGTTGTAACTAACAATAGGTGTTTCTACACTGTACAAACCATTTTCCCCCTGCTATTGTAAGATAGGGTGATGGTGGCTGTCTGTCTAGAAAAGGGGGGTTCCAGAATTTTTAGATCGCCCACAGATCATCGTTAAGCTGTGGACTTGACTCCATAATGTTGACTGGCTGTCATATAATTTGTTATATGATGAATAAAGATAATTTTCACCATTTTGCTTCATGCAGTGTGAGTTATTAGATTGCATTAGGCAACTGACCTTCACCTCTTCCTAAACTTAGAAAAAATCTCACTTTTCCAGCTCAGTCAAGAAAATCAGCTGCTGCTTAAAAAGCTGAGGCATACACGACTAAAAAACAAGCAGTTGGAATATGACTTGGCACAGTTACAGAAAGAACTGCATGTACAACAGACGTTAATACCAGCCTTTGTCACAAAGAGAGAGTAAGAATGGATATGTATTGCTTCGGCATCCCAAAGGTTGTTTTGCATGTAGAACCTGTGGTTATTCTTCATATTAATTGTCAGCCTTGTTTGTAACCTATCTATGCAGTGCGGGATTTGAATTCACTTGGAACCACTGACAAATTCGATGGTTAAGCTGAGGGTCAGTCTACATACTAATACTGCCATGATAATATGTCTTGATATTTTTTAGAAGATATTTATAGTTGTAAATAAGACAGTGTACCTTTTGCCAGGCTGGCTTAACATGCTGTAACATGCTTTGTGTGTGTAGTATGCTAACTATTTTGTAATGGAATCCTTATAGCTAGTTGGTCTGCAAAGTTATGTTTATTTGTGTAACAAACACTCTGACATGCTGGACAATAGGTCTTAATCCAGGAAAATGTACTTAGAATTGCATCTTTAAATGCTCTGGTAGGAAAAAAAATAATGATTTATTACAAATAGTTCTTCCTGTATGAATGATTTCAGTTTTGCCTTGAAAGAAGCATAACAACTGAACTGTCACTTTGCTTTTCAACTGTTCCTGAACAACTTTTGCTGATCATAAGACAGAATATATCTTTATGTTAGTAAAATCTGTTCATACCAAAGAGATTTTAAGTTATTGTGTTTGTTTAATTTAGTGTGCCAGTTCAAACAGAAAACCACTTATACCATAGAGGTGATGGGATTTACCTCAAGGAAAATGCAATAGTAAAGGAAAATGCTAGGTAAGCTTTATTTATTTATTTAAAACATTTATATCCTGCCCTTTCCAATGAATGGCTCAGGATGGCTTACAGTGATTAAAATAGCATATGAAATACAATGATACAATAGTTAATAAATAATAGACCAACATAGCAACTACTTTCATAACTAAAGAGAAAGAAAAAATAAAGAATAAAGAATGTGAGTGTGGAAATCTTAAAAGGCTTTGCCGAGATAGTTCTATATATATCTTTATTACATATCCTGTGTATATTTATTCAAACAGTTTGTGTTCTGTGAGATAAGTTCCCATGTAAGTACACATATTATCGCAGCCCATGATATCAAAAATAATCACTTTCCAATTCTAAAAAGCAAGTCTAGCTCCTGTATTGAATACGATATTGACAGTGGATTTATCCAATTTGTGCTGTGACTTACCACATTTCCTTATAATGAGAATTTAGACAACTGAACTGATGTCGCTTTCATTTGTTAGGCCATGCTATAAATGTGAATCAGAATGTCTAGTGTTAAGATTCTCTTTTTTTCTGAGAGAGAGTAACAATTGTATTGTTCAGTTGCGCTGTCCCATTCATGGAATTTTATATAAAGTTCAGATGATATCATCTTTAGTTTGTACCTTTCCCATGTTTTCTTATCACTACTTCTGTCTCTTATCAGAAAAATCTGCTAAGAAGGCCAAAATGGAATAACAGTATCATGTTTCTAACTGCTCATGTTAGGAGCCCTCCATCTGAAAGTATCCCAGCATCCATTGGAGAGCTAGTGGGATAGAGCTAGAAATAGATCTCTGGATGATTTGAATGTTAACTCCCACATTTTTAACTATTGGCCATACTGGCAGGCAGTTCTGGGAGATTTACAGGTAGTCCAAAAAACCTGGAGAGCTGTAATCCTGAGAGCTTCATTATCAAAGACAGTTGAATCCAGCTCCAGCTTGAAAGTGTAGTCAGTGTTGGTTTGCTGGTGGCTGCTTGGAGCTTACTAGCCCATCTCTGGCTCTTACTGAGGCCTCTAACTTGCCTACTGGTTTGTCAGTTTCACCTCTGTCATCTTCAGCCTGACCTGCCACCTCCATAAATGTTCTCATTCTTACCCTGTAGTTTTTCTAAAACAAAACCAGAACATTTTACATATAGTAACATAGTCCGCCAAGTGCTGCTACTAGGCATCTTTAGTTCTTTTTGAGTAGGATATGGACAAGAACATGTGGGTGCTTCCTAGCAAGGCTTTTATTGTGCATTCGCTCTGCCTCATCACAAATGTCCTTTTCTGAATGGTTGGTCTAAGTGACACTATCTTCCCACTGCTCTGTATTTCCTCACCAGTATCATATTTCTTTTTATTTTCACAAAAAATCAGATATGGAGGGGAAGACATAATAGATACACAGTGCCTTTTGATTGTTAGTGCTACCCTGCCTGGAAGCACCCTAAACCTGTATTTGGAAAGTGTGTGATGCTTTCTGATTTTTGCATATTTTCTAGAGTACGCCAGATGTATAGTAATCTGCAGAAAAAGTATAATAAAGAATTAAAAGCAAACCAAGGACAAAGTGAAACGATCGCAACACTTTCTGTAAGATTTGGTCAAATAATTTGCTGATGTAACTTTTAAAAATATATTTTAATGTATGTCTGCATGCTACTTACCATATTTATGCTAAAGCAATAGCTACAAGACAAGTTATTTGTCAGCCCTGCTGCATTTGTCAACTGCAATTCCATTGGGTTGTTATTATAAATTACCTATCTTTCTTACATGCCATTATTATTAAGGTTAACTAAGTGTGTCCTTAACAATAACATCCATGTGCCATATTTGAACTGCAAGGGCATGCAAAGAGGTGTTTTCTTTGGTTACCCATAATAGTGCTACTCTCTTCTAGAAGTACATCAAAATATGCTTTCTGGAAAAGCTATAAAATGTTTTTTCTTTGGTTTGGCATTGCAATGGTCAGGATTACTCAGGTGTTGGGTAATTTAAAACCTAATTTGAATATTGTTTTTTTTTTATGCGTGGCACATTTTATTTTTAGCTCTTGTTACCCAATCATAGCTCTTCGGACTCAGAAATAGAACTCTGCAAGAAGATTTTTTGTGGATAAAATGCTTGAATCCAAATATGCGGTCATGGAAAAGCTGTTGCAGTGGCACATTTTTACAAAAATGTGCAAGCAGCAGCACAACATGAACTGATTAAAATTTAGTTTCGATCTAAGAATACAGCATATGTTGTCCACTGGTGCATAAGAAGAATAGTGCTCGTGGAACCCAATATGCTGCATCAGGGTTCTAACATTAGGGAAATGACATTAGACAATGGGGAGAAAGTGATCGTGCCTGTGCGATATGCCTTCCACTCCTGTAAGGCAGAATCTGCTTTATTCCGAATCTAGAATATAAATCGTTCATTTATTCCAGTGTTCTGCATGTGCTCCTGCCATACAGATGGTTGTTGATTTCATCCTGGCTGTTACTCACCATCTGTTTTGTGGTACATATTGGCTCAGTTGTGCCTTTATTTACATTTGTAGAACCCAGTTGACTGACAGAAGATGGGGATAATGCAACACTGCATGTATATTGAGTTAATGACATTACTTGTTTCAATCCCGGTCTTTCTTCACCCCCCCCTTTTTTTTTTGCTTTAGATTAAATTCTGACTTTTCTGTCATGATGAAAATAAAGAATAATGATTCTGAATTGGTGCACAAAGTTTACTTCCATGTTGGCTTTCAAATGCAGTCATTTTCTTGCTTAATTAAAATTGTTCTACTATTTTATCTTAGGTTAAAATTAATGATTTGGAACAGCGACTTCAGTTAGCAAACCAAAAGATAAAGGAGTTAGAAAGCAAAAAGGTGTCAAAAAAGGACAAAAAGGTTGCGCCAGAGGAAAAAATATTACCTCACAAATGCATGTGCAAAAGAAGGGGGAGCTGTTCCTGCAAATATTTAGGTAATAATATGCTTTGCTCTCATATATGTTGACACACCAGCCCTTGAGCGTTTGTGCTTCTTTCTTCCTGGCATACTTCATAGTTTTGTGGTGGGATTAAAACAGAACTGAGGATGGATACTGTGTATGTTGCCCTGAGCTCCTTGGAGGACGTGCTCAAAATAAATAAACATTCAATGATGTGACTATACTCTACTCAGCTCTGTATGAAGAATGAGTCCAGTATAACTGCTATCACCTGGGGCCATTCCTTTTCCCCTGCAAGGAATTTCTTGCTATCTGTTGTTATTCTGCTTCATGGTTTACATGTTTTCCTGCTACTCTTGGCTCATGTTTTATATAAACCTACAGTAAGTGAAGTAGATAGAAATTTCCAGTATAGATGTTAAAGCATGTCTTGCAAAACAGTGTGTTTGGGCTTTTATTTATTTATTAATTACAGTCATAACCCCGCATAATCTCAGTTTTATACACACAAATCTTACTTCCACAGTAGTTACTCTTCAGAACCTCCTGCATTGTGCCAGAGTCTGACCATTAGATGCACCCTGTCTTCAGAGATCTTTGACTCTTTAGCAACTCATAGACTCAGACTGTAAGCTGAATCTATAAAACAATGTAATAAAAGCAATGTAAAGCAGAATTAAAACTATATGAAAACATTCAGGTTTCTGGCTAATCGAAGTTAATACTAGCAATGCTTTCTCAAAATAGGTTTTTATAGGAAGATTTAAAATGCCTGGAGATACAACAATATTTTAAAAGTATAAATATATAACAAGATTAATGTTTCAATGAGTTTTGACTTAAAATATTTTAATTGTATCATAGACCAGTTGCTTTATGAGATTCAGCGTCTGAAGATGGAAAATGAAACACTATCCAAAGAAAGAAGAATGTTGAGAAATGAGCTTGCCGCATTAGACAAGGTAACTTATTTTTAGGTTGAGATGATATAGAGAAGGATCCCAGCAACACACAGAAAATATATGATGTGGAAGGAAAAGACTGTTGTGCCCACAGTCAGTGTTATACTTCCATTATTCCAATATCTGTACTGTAAGCCATGATGCTGTTGATTGCTGGGCAGGGAAGGATTCTATCATGTTCCTTTCCCAAGTCAGTTCAGCATTGATAGGGCTGTGCAGTTGTTTGGCAGGAAGAAGTCGTACATGTAGCAGCAGATCTACAGCCTTCTGTTGCATTCACAGTTCTATGAACTGAATTTGTAATATGACCAGTTAAGGTTAGTTTATAATTTAGACTGGAATTATATTATAACTTTGAATATGCAGTTAGGGAAATAAAAGTCTAAAATACAGTTTTACACATTTGTTCCATTTTTCTTTAACTGTATTATGTAAGTGAAATGTTCCTGTTTGAAAAGCAGAGCTCCTACATGCCCCAAACCCTAGACTTTGGTGAAACAAATTAATATATTGATATATATCAACAGCCCCACTAATGTTTAAACTCAGAAAAAATAAATACATAACTCTATAATTTTAAGGAGACCAAATATAAACTTTACCACTGACAAACTTTACCTAACCTATCACTACCAGCCAAAAGATAATCATGTGAGCAATGAGGGAATTTAATCAGGAAAGGCAGTATAAAACTTGCTTTCACAGAAGAATATAAATGACAGCTGAATAGAAGATGCAGTAAGGTTAAACCTAGCAGAACAAGTTTAATTTGTTTCTGCAGCTGCCCTAAGGCATAGAAGAGAATGGATTTAGGGGCTTGCAGGACAACACATAAAAATGAAGCCAGTGCTGTGTCCAGTCTAGTCAGAGCTGCTAAGATCCAAATAGGCATTCTGTATAGTAAAAAAAGGACAAAAGTTTTGCTTGGTAAACCTGCAATACCGTTGGGATCGATAAACTCCTGGACTGGAAAAAGAACCTCAGATAGCAGCTAAGTGAACTGAATCACATTCCTTCCAGAATGTGATTGAGATGGATTGACCAGGTACTAGAAACTGTAAAATGAAATCCTATGATAATGAAATGAATGCACTTGCTCTATCCGATGCCCTTTGATTATCCAAGGCTGGCTAGCTTTTCTGTATATACGTGCTTCTGAAAAAATAAGATCTTTGAGTTACTATAATTGATAGCTAGCTGGTTGTCCAGAAAAAAAATTGCATTAGCATTAAGTACAAAGTAGTTTCAAACCTACCTTTGTATAGGATAATAATGCAAGATTATCTGCGTACAATAAAATTGGCAAGTGGTGAGGATTCAGTTTAGGGAGATGGAAATTACTGTGTTTTAGCCTGAGAAGTAGATTGTGTAAATACAGCTTGATTGATGAGGGCCAATAAAGTGAGCCTCAATCCAGATAACATGGAAGTCCTCTTGGTGGGCAGACCAAGGTTTCAGGTAAGTGATTTTGACCTTGTCCTGGATGGGGTAGCACTTCCTCTAAAGGACAGGGTCTGCAGCCTGGGAGCACTCCTTGATCCAGAGCTGTCACTGGAAACCCAGGTGGCAGCGGTGGCAAGGAGTGCTTTCCTACAGCTTCAGCTGTTCCATCAGCTGCGTCCTTACCTGGACAAGCAGAGCCTAGCAACAGTGATTCATGCTCTGGTAACCTCCCGGTTGGATTATTGTAACGCGCTCTACGTGGGGCTGCCCTCAAAAGTGGTCCGGATACTTCAGCTGGTACAAAATAGGGCAGCCAGAGTGCTGATGGGGACTGGCCATTATTCTCATATAATGCCTGTCCTCTTCCAGTTGAAGTCTGGGCCCAATTCAAAGGCCCTGCTCCAAGAACCCTCCCTAAAGGAGGTAAAAAGGACACTAAGCTGGAATCTGATCTTTTTCAGTGTATGTACAGCTTACAAAGTTAAAAAGAAGGAATTTATTTGGTTTAAGACTTCAATACTTTACTTTAAACTTGGTTGGAACAGTCTTCTCAGTAAATTACTCTATAAACTTTGGCACAGATGCTTTTTTGGTCTTTCCAAAATGATAACAACAAATAAGCAACCCCTCTGTTGCAGGTGACAAAAGTATCCAGTAGTGAGAAGGTAAGATCCTAGATCTATTAGAAGCTGAAGAATAAGCTTCTTATTCTTTAGTCTGATTTACAAACACTGTTTGAGTTATTTCTAAAGCTCTTGTCTTTTAGAGAAATTTTCTTCAGTGGTGAATACAGGAAGGTATAACTTTTGTAACTGGGAAGTACAATTAACTAAAAGACTGTGTGATATTTACTTTTTCAGGATTTTTTTGATGAAATAGAAGATTTAAAATATGCTCTTAAAGAAGTCATAAAATTGAATACTCAATATGAAAAGTGTATGAAGGAACTAAGTTCAACTTATGGAATAACTTTTTCATCCATGTTGACATCTGGTAATCATCGTGTAGCTTCATACAAATAAAAAATTCGGACTGTTGGGAACTGTAAAATTAACTTACTATCAAGGCAACTTTCTATGTTTTGCAATAAAATGACTTTTAAAATCTTTTGTAAAATTTTATTTTCTTTATAAACCTGTATGTATTTTTTAATAAATACAGGCCAGTTTGGATGTAATGCTAAACAATTGTTTATCATTATATGGACAAGCCTGAACTTATATACTTCCACCTCTGCTTCTCTGCCCATTATACCTGAACTTGGGGAACGATGGTTAATTTAAACTAGGTCCAAACAGGCCAGGATCAAGCTGTATTTTATGGTTCTCACCTGTTCACTAGCTATATTTCAAGCCAGCAACATTTCTTCCAAGTAGGAATAATAAAATTAATAATAATAATACTAGAGTAGGCCTTCAAGCTTATGATTATAAGAAGAATATGAAAGATCTGGAAGAGGTTGGAAGGAAATCTACTTAGAGTTCTTTTAAACTTTCATTTTAAATGTGAAATTAATTTGTATATTAGGAACAGCTTAGGAATTGCTTGAATACTAAAGAGGTAAATAAATACCTCTTTCACTCTTGAATGGAAATGAACTCATAGATTTCTGATTTACTTGCCAGGAGAAAGGCATCATACTTATTACAAAAATAGAGCACACTAGAACTGACTGGTGATTACATCACACACTAAAACGCGCAATGCTAGGCATGGTTTTAGACAGACGAAAGTCCCACAGCTTCCAGCATGCACAAACAAGCTGTATTGGCTGGACTATTGGGGGAGTTACAGGATTTTCTGATTGTGCTCTAACCGATAATCAATTCATTTCTATGTTCATTCACAGCCTTAAGCACGCAGGGATCTACACAAGCATTTCTTAGTCAACCAACAGAAGACCACAACAACCTGGGAGATTAAACCAAAGTTTATTCAATTAGCTGAAATAAATACCTAGGGGCTGATGGGAGTTGTAGTCGACATCCGGAGAGCAGTGGGTTGGGGAAATCGGTATACGGCACGCCACGGCGAGCGATTCCAACAAAAGCACTTGCACGGCTCGCCGCCAAGCGCCTGCGCCCCGGGATCTGCCCGGCGCGCCACCCGCACGCCGAGCGCGGCAAGCCCAATGGAAGCGCCGCGCCCGCAGAGAGTCACGCGAATCCCGATGGCACTGCGGCTGCCGCGGCGGGGCCAACGGGAGCCGCGCAAAACGTCCTCTTGGCGAGGCTTTGCGGCTCCGCGCAGAAGTCGCAGCGCCGGAGCCGTGCAGCAGGCACACGTGCAAACTCTTTCCTCTGTTCTTCTGAAGCGAGCCGTCTTCTTCCGGGGACACGGTGACGTGAGCCGCCAGTCACTCGGTTGCTGAGCGCTCGGACGGCGCCCGGAGCCCTTTCGCCTGGCAGCCTTCCGCATGCTTTGGCGGCATTTCCTCCTCAGGCGTAAGCAGAACCGGCGGTGGCGTGCTGGAGGGAGAGGCTGGTGAAGGCCGAGGTGTTTGACCTCCGTCCTCAGTTTTTTCTTATCTAAATATTTTTCCTTCTGCAGAAAAAAGTTGGCCGGAGCTTCTTGGCTTGGTTTGGTTAGGGGCTTCTCTTGCCAGAGTGCAACAACCTTACTTGCTGTGCCCTTTTTAAAGTCGCCTTTAGAAACTCCAGGGGGAGAATGTTGGACTTCCTGTACAAGCTGGGGTCACTTTCTTAGGAATACCTCTTGGGGTTTTTAGCGAGTGTGCTGGAACCGTCTAATGCCACAATTCCGTACTTTGGGGTGACCGCGACTGAGGCTTTCAAGGTGAGAATATTTGGCTTTGTGGATAGCCTTCCTGATCCTTTAAGTACCAAACCCTCAAAAACAAGAATCCCCAAACGAATGTAGCGTTTTTGTTAAGTCCAACTAAAAGTCACAATGAAGCAAGCAAGGTTTTGAGCTGGGGAGAACTCTTCTAAAGGCTAGATCTTCCGCACACACACAGTGGGGTGGGAAGGGAGAAGATGTTGCTGCTTGCAATAAATTGCAGATAGACATCTGCTGATGGGTAAGTTTGTTTGTCATGCACAGCAACATCTTGCTTTTCCCTGCTCTCTTTGTTTTTTTGCAGTGCTGACAGTTGGATAGGATTACTTGTAGAAGAATTCTGCTGGATGCAAAGCTTGCTCTGTGATTTGTGACATGCTATACTACTATTGCTATAGGTTATTAATTATGGACAGCATTAGAATATCCCAAGCATAAGTATTCCTCATAGAATAATACTAGTTAAGTAATAATAAATACATTGTTCTTACAAAAGTCATGTAAAGCAAAGCCCTACTCTCACCATCCCTATACAGTAGACCATTAGTTTTAGACCCCCCCTCCCCCCAAATGACCCTTTCAACTTCTGTTTCATCAGGGAGCTTTATTTTTTATTTCTGAACAGGAAGTACCATATAACATGGTCACTCCCCACTTGATTTTTCCTATTTAGACATTACATGTAGGTTGAATGTACAGTTGACTCTGACAATGACTCATTCTTTTTCAGCGACTTTCTGTTGCCTCAATTCAGTACTACAAAAGTTTTAAATAATTTAGGGCACAATCCCGTGGCTGCTAAGTGCTGTCTGGTCAGCCATAGGAGAGGGTGGAGGTTCAGCTCTGATATTGGGACAATGACTTAGGCCTGCCCTCCATTCATCTTTCAGCTGGTGCAGTTCTTCGCTCCCTGGCTGTTCCTCTGATGTCAGAAGATTGCACTTAGCTAGTGTTTGGTGGGTGCTCTGGTGGAAAGGGAGGGGAGGAATGAAGCTGTGTTAGCATATGATAATGTACCCTGGAAGTGCCTCTGCCTCTCCTTCCTGTGAGTTGGGGCACAAGAATTAGATGAAGGCTTTTGCAGGCTGGAGAAGCCCTTCTGCCCTTAGCAGGATGCTTGTAAAACTCAGAGTTTAGAGTGTTACAGGCAGACCATTGGTTTGTGCTTTAATTTTGTTATTAGAGTGTTTGGATATATAAGTGAGAAATGACTGATCATTCAAAATCTGTATTCAGAACTTGCCCAGTAAAAATACAGTATTGTATGTTTCCTGCAGGACTCTTAATTGGTCTGAAGAACTATCAAAAACCCTCATGTGACTTGCCAGCCGGAATAGGTGGATATCGCTATCCTCTGTGGGAGAAGGAGCTGCCCGTTGACTGAAATGGCACTTCTGCGCTTTAACATTGTGAAAAGGTTATTTTGGAGGAAAAGAGGCATTTTTGCCTTGAAACTTTTGTTTTTTACTGTTTCTGTTTTGATCTTCTGTGAATTTATAATTTATTACATAGTTATAATCCAGTGTCACTGGCCACAGTTGAAAGCTCCAAGGGCTATTGAACTGACTTCAGATTCTGTCTTGAAAGCAATGTTTATAGCAGATACTCATTTACTTGGTGAAATCAATGGACACTGGTTGGACAAGCTAAGGAGGTAAGAACTCAACAGTAGCAAAAACGTTGCATTTCTTTGGTAGATACATATTTTAAAGGATAAGTATCCATCCCAAAGAGTACTTGATGGTACAGAGCCCCCTGGAAGAAGGGAGGGACAGTCCAGCTGGAGCAAGGCCTGAGGTGGTTTTGTCTTGCCTGACTTTCTCTTCTGGAATCTTTCCCACAGGGCCATTAATGGTAATACTGAATAAGTGTAGCTGGAGTGTGGACTACAGGCACTCTTTGCCTGCCTGCCTGCCTGCCTGCCTGCCTCTTTCTTTCTTTCTTCTTCTCACAGAAAACTGCCAAAAAGGCTGCTAAAAGTCTTCAAGTTGATTAAGCATCTGCTTTCTAATCCATTATTTGGAACTGAATTGGAATGTTGTGAAAATTTCCACCTAGGTGTCTTGCTGAAAGTGTTGGATGTGATTGTTTGTTTACATAGTCTAATACACAAACTTATTCTAGCTGCTTGATATTAGAAAACACATGTTCTTAGTATTGTCTTCTTAGTTCCATATTATTGTAACATATTAGAACTAAAATGGCCTAAAATCCTCAAATATTCTGTTATTTTGAATGCCTTTAATACTATAAATGAAAGTGTGTGGGTGCATTCACATTTCATACCAACATACTTTAACAATAAGCTACAGCGTATTGGTTGTTGGACAAAACAAGTTGTCATATAGCTGACAGACAGTTGGGCTCACTGTGAGTTATTCGTACCTTCCCTTCTCCTTGGTCCTCCTGCAGGTATGTCAAGGGATCCTGCACCTGGACTGTGCTCACCTTTTGGGGTCATGTCCAGGGTTGGTATCTGCTGTGACCTGGAAGTAGATAGCATCGCCCACCTGACTTTTGCAGTAGCTCCTCAGTGCAAGCAGACAAGGATGGCTAACAGAATAAGAAAATATGAAAACATTTGTGCACATTTGGCATGCAAAGTTTTTTTTTAGAGTTTTCTACCATCGATGGCCCACACAGTGTGCTGCTCAAGTGCTTTGATGGGACTGTCAGCAGTTGTCAATAGGAAGACTGCAAAAACCAGAAGGATCTCTGAAAATGAAAGGATAAAAGGCAAAAAAGCTGCTCTAAGTGGAAAAGGAGTGCAAGACTAGCAGGGTGCCTTTCACCCCCAGGTGCAGCTTGGGCACTTGTGAGGCTGCTGGTACGGTGGTAACCAAGGCAAGCTAGACAGTAATGAAAAGGTTATTTTGCCACTCTTGCCAAGAGTCTCAGTAGTCTATTCCCTTTACCCAGGATGGAAGCAGTTGCTGAATTCTCCATGGGTGAAGGAACGCCAACTACAGCCTATGGACTGTCAGGGTGGCTTGCCACTCTCGGACAAGCTGGCTTGTGGAACTTGGTCCAGGTTCACAAGATATGGCAACCCATCATGGGCAGCTATATTCTGTCTCTTTTGCTAGACTAAAGGACTCCCTTTGGGAGCTTACATGAACAGGCTGTGGTCGTGGTGAATTGGATGAGTAGTCATGACTGGACATAATCATTACATAATGTCTTCACAGAATATTATGTAACCTCCCGATGATTGTACATTGCACACTACAAGTTGAAAGCTGTCATTGCTTAGCATTCTAGTTTCATAGATGAAGGTTGTAAAAGCAGGGCAAGCTTTGCTTTACTGATCTGGCCAGGAGGCCTACAGGCTTCAGTGAGAAAAGTTTTGGAGCATAAATTGATATAACATGATTTCAGCCAGTGGGCTTTAAAGCAAATTGTGCACAAATAGATGTTCTGCAAGGGGCGGCATAGAAATGTTTTAATAAATAAATAAATAAATAAATAAAATGTTCAGCCTGCCAGTGAGAAGAAGCTCAGTGAAATATATCCCATTTTTAAAAATAAAATCTCAACAGAAGAAAAAAGAGAGGAAAATATTGTGGATTCATATATTTAAATAGATCAAATATCTGCATTTCAGAGGATGCAGATTATATATAAATATAGGTTTCTAAAAACAATATGTCCATTTCAGCAAAAGCAGATCAAATATTCACAGAAGTATCCATTCACAGGTGATGTCTATACACCATTCAAGGGTTGAAAGCAATGTTAGGTCCTCAGTCTGTTGCATGATAGGAAGTGAGCATTTTCTGGCTAGTGCTGTAAGATCAATCTTTTAGATTGATAAGGTGCTGTTAATCCATTTGTGCTGATCGTGCATTAACGGTCTGTTGAGGAAACAGGTAGCTACTTTTAAACAACATGTGCATCTGTAAATAGTTCCCAGGGTTCTGAGATAAAGTCAAATAACATTCTGTCAAAAAGAAGTGACTACTGGTCATTACCAAAAAATAAGCTTAAAAACATTTAGCTCTGACACTTTGTTAATATTTTGGCTTGAACTCTGGGCAGCCTAAACCTGGGCATCTTAATATTGGAGAAGGCATTCTTTCAGCTAGCTTGGGCCCAGGCTGTATTAAGCTTTATAGGTCATAACCAGCCTTTTGAATTGTGCCCTGAAGCAGACTGGTAGCCAGTGGAGGAATTGTGCTTCCTGTGGCTAGTTCTGATCAGCAGTCTGGCTGTGGCTTTCTGGACAAGCTGAAGATTTTGAACAGTTTTCAAAGGCAACCCCACATGGAGAGTGTTACAGTAGTCCAAATGGGATGTAAGGAAGGCATATGAGATCTGTAGGATGAGACATCCTTTTGAAAAAAAAATCATGGATGTCGGAAACAAATGTGCTGCATTGACATGTGAAGATGAAGGCCAGCAGCAGAGTCCACATGGAATGATAACAAGAGGAGAGACACATGGTGTTTACTGCATTTATATCTGGCCTTTCCTGAGTGGAGAAGGTCCAGGTCTTACACTGTGAGACTGTTCCTCTCACCCCTAAACTCCTTTGAAGAACATCCTGAGAATCAGAGGCACTGCACACCACCGCAGCTCTGACCTGTGGCATGTGGCATGTACTATCATTGTAACAGCTTGAAGTTACATAGTCTGTTATGATGATGTGCTCTTGGATCAGGAGGCTTGCAGTACGGTTTTCAAGGTGTCATAAACTTGGGTCATCTATTGGCCAATAATAAAACTTCCTGGGCTGCTGGCATGTACGATGGATCAAGAACTAGGATCAAGCTTTGGGTAGTTCAGAAATTATGAAAGCTTCTAAATCAAAATCATCTTGCTGCTTGAACTCATGCTTTGATACAATTTCTATATAAAAGGGCTGCAGCTAAGCAGAGACATCTGTACAACTCTAATAGTTACATTCTTATTCAGTCCTTGTCCAGTTATTGGGATTCTTAAGAGATATATTCAATGTTACTACTACTTCGAGTGAACCTATTGAAATGGATGAACTTGAATTAAAGTTTTGTCCATTTCCGTAGGTTTACTCTAAGTATGACTAACATTAGATACAGCATCTAATGTTTTTTGCCCTGTAACATCTGCAATAGAACCTTTAAAAAGTATTTTGAAATGATATCAAAGAAAATGTCAGTTCTCTGCACATCTGTGTCCTTTGTGGCTCAGTCTTGGCAAGCATGTTGTAAAATTAACTGGAATATGTCGGTCCTGTATTGTTTTTTCCTTCCCCTAGGGAATGGCAAATGGAGAGAGCCTTCCAAACTTCCCTCTGGCTTCTGCAGCCAGAAATAGTTTTTATTCTTGGTGATGTCTTTGATGAGGGAAAGTGGAGCTCTTCCCAGGTTAGTATTGTGTATAATGCTAAAGTGTTTTCCTGAAGCAAAACAGGGTTTGTGGCAATTGTGTGCAAACAACAAAGGCTATGGAATGAATGAAATTCTTGTAAAACTTGCTTCCCAACAACCTTTATTAACCAGCATCCTATTCTATAACATGGTTAAGCTAAAGTTACCGGGCAAAACTAACATTTCATATTTAGTAGTTAGTGCATTGAACTGTGTGATTCTCGCAGATACAGATTCTTACAGATTTGGCAGATTTCTCTTAGTATAGATAAGCTTGATCCTGGTAGCCTGCTCTCTGCTTTGCCACAAGTTCCCATTGCTGCCTTTCTGAATAGATTTATTTTGATTTTTAAAGTCTGTATTTCCATTCAACATACTCTTCAGAGAGCCAGAACAGTGCATGTAAATAGGACAATCTGGACACATACTGGGTCAGTCATAGGGCTGATTCAGTATGCATAAAATCACTGAAACTCAATTTAAGCTGATTTAAGGGTTACCAATTGTTGTGAGAATCCATCCTTTGTCAGTATCAGCAGCCCAAAGTGGAAAACTACCACTGAGTGTTGGTAGACGTCTGCTGTAGATCAATGCTACTGTGATACTGATATTTGTAATGAAAAATTAAAGAAATGGTTGTGGCTTTTCATTCCTTTTATGATTCGATTTGGATGAGGTGATAGCCCACTCAGAGTTAATGAACCCTTGGCACTTCTGCCATTATGAATATGCAAGCTCAGGCTGGTGCAGGAGAGAGCCTGGTTGGTTCCTCTCTCTCCAGGCTTCCTGTTTGCTTAATTTCTAGTCTAGAGTGTTTGCATCTTGTGCTGGGTCAGTGGGACAGATGAAGGATTCTGTTGATGCACCTGAGTTGACCGCGCTTGTCTCGCTAGCGGAGTTGGTCTTGAGGGATTTTAACATCCATGCTGAGGACTCCATATCCAGAATGGCTCAGGACTTCATGAACTCCATGACAACCATGGGATTATCTCAACATGTCATTGGCCCAATACACACAGCAAGGCACATTCTGGATCTTTTTTTTCCCAGCTGCGCATGGGGATAGTGATCTGAAGATGGGAGACTTTGAATTGGATGCTCTGTTGTGGTCCAATCACTGTCTGAGCACCATGTCTGTGGTAGAGTTTGTATGAGCATTGTGGTACAGCTCAGAGTTGAGAGCAATTCATTATTCATGGCTGAGGGCGGATCAGGAAACTCTTAATGGACACAACTGAACCTTGCCTTGTGTTGAAAATATAGTATATTTGGAGGCAGTGAACAGAGTGAACAGTGGTGAAAAAACAATTCATCATTGCCTCTATTTTCTTTTCTCTTTGCTGCCATGAATGAGACTGATTATCTGGTCCATTTCCTTTGGAATTCAGGACTGGTTTTAGCACCAAAACAGCTTAAGTCACATTGCATGATGACCTATTCCAGAAGAGAGATGTGGGAGTGTGACCTTCTTAGTATTCCTGGATCTTTCAACACCTTTCAATAGGCTTGACCATGATAATCATTCTGGGGTGGCTGGTTGAGTTGGGAGTGGGGGGTATTGCGTTGCAGTGCTTCTGTTCCTACTTGGATGACTGGCTCCAGAAGGTGGTTCTGCCCCTTGGATTCTCCAGTAGGCTGTTCTGCAGTGGCCATGCTATTTAACATTCACATGATACCACTGAGTGGGGTCATCTGGATTTCTGGAGTGCACTGTCATGTGTATGCCAGCGACACATAATTCCTTTTCTCCTTTTCACGTTCAGCAAGTGAGGTTGTGGATGTGCTAAACCAGTGTCTGGCTGTGACAGTGGACTGAGTGACGGCTAACAACCTGAAGCCCAGTCCAGAGAAGATTGGCTGTTGTTAATGCATGGTTCTTCTGACCAGATAGAGGGAAGTCAACCTGTTCTAAATGGGATCACCCTCCCTGTGAAGGAGCAGTTTTGTAGCTTGGCGGTGCTCCTTGAGCCGTCTTCATCACTTGAGGCCCAGGTGGCTTCAGTGGCACAGAGTGCCTTCTACTGTCTTTGGCTGGTGGCTCAGCTGTGCCCCTATCCAGACAGGGATAACCTCATTTCAGTAATTATGCTCTGGGAATCTCTAACTTGTATTACTGCATTAATTACTCACATACTACTCTATGTGAGGCTGCCCTTGAAGACTGCTTGGAAGCTGCAGCTTGTGCAAAATGTAGCAGCTGGATTAATAATAGGGACTAGATGGTCTGATGACATAACACCAATTTTGGCCCAGTACTTTCCAGATTTTTGGACCACAACTCCCAGAATTCCCATTCAGCAGGGCTATTGACTGGGAATTCTGGGTGTTGTGGTCCAAGCATGTCTGGAAGACACAAGGTTGGGGAAGGCTCTCCTACACCATTTACCATGCTGGCTATTGGGAGTTATAGTTTGGAGGATACCAGGTTGCCTACACCGTTGTAAAGCTTCTCCATAATTTATTTGCAACATTAATGCTGTATAAGTAGCTGTTCTTAACCAGTTAATAGTAACAGTTGTTAACATTTGGTTGTTATTGATAATTAGAGCTCTGCAACAAACGCTAATACATGATAAAGTTGACTAGCCATTGAAATTGAATTATGCAGTATTAGAACCTCTATACATCTTCCTGCAGGCCTGGTCAGATGATGTAAGACGCTTTCTGAAAATGTTTAGACATCCAGTCCAAACTGAAATAATGGTTATTGTTGGCAACCATGACATTGGCTTTCATTATGAGTGAGTATTTTTTTTTTTTTTTATAAAACAGGGTTCAGTGTAAAGATGGAAGCTGTCAAAATGAAATGAAAATTTTTAGTATGTTTTGGAACTGAGAGGAGGGCAGAAGGACAAATACTACTTTGACATATGCAGATCAGGTGTGCTTTTTGCCCCCTTTTCTGCTATACTGCAGTATAATAGAAAAGCCCTGTTCCAGGTTCAGTGCTAACATGCTTCAGTTTACCAGAAGCAACAGTGCACCAATTTGCCTGGTCACGTGCTTGAAATCAAGACACCTGTGTTGTGTAGCCACTGCTGGTTACAGTTGTGCTGACAGTTTACACCATTCCCTTTGGGACAAGATCATTTTCTAGGGTACCCTGAAAATCTGCCTACTTCCATTTCCTCATTATATTTTCACATCTGTGGCCAGCAGTTGTTGCTATTGGGATCCTAGCTGGTTAGAGATCATGTTGTGAGTAGGGTGATGTTGCAGAACTATATAAATACTGGGATCTAGCTGTATGGTGACACTGATCCACATCTGTCCAAAAGTGGTGGCACACTCTGTTCTGCTGTTCTGCAGCTGTGTTTTGTCACAATGTGACGAAAAAGGAACCCTTCATCAGCCTGAGTGTTGTTTTGCCTTCTGTGCCTTTCAGACACATTGAAAAAGTCTTTAAATGGAGGTGGAGACTGCCTTGATGGGTATGAAAATGCTTGTAAAATTTGACCTCCTGGCCCTGCTCTGTTTTTATTTCTGAAAAGATATATACTGAATTAATTAAAAATAATAAATGCTAAAGTGGTTCTTAAAATAAAATCTTAACAAAATGCAATAAAAGAGCATTATAACAATAATGTAGCTCATTTAGCTGCAATGTTAGTGGTCAGAAACCTGGGGAACATATATGTCTTTAGCTTTTGGTGGAAACATTCCACACTAGGAGCCCACCTTTCAGATTAGATCACCTGCTGTACAGCACAGTGGGGAAGGTGTCAACCGGGGACTGGGCGTTACGTTCACATGACTCCAGTTCTCCGTCAGCTTCACTGGCTCCCTATTGAAGTCCAGGCCCAATTCAAGGTGTTGGTGATGACCTATAAAGCCCTTAATGGCTTGGGTCCTGGCTACCTGAAGGAGCGCATACGTCCATATATGCCTGCCTGCCCCTTGAGATCAGCGGGAGAGGCCCTTCTCCGGGAACCTTCCGTGAAGGAAATTAGGAGGGTGGGTACTTGGAGGAGGGCTTTCTCTGCGGTGGCGCCCAATCTATGGAATGTGCTCCCCAGAGAGGTCCACCTGGCACCGTCATTATTTGTTTTTCGGCGCCAGGCGAAGACCTTTTTATTCAAACGCTATTTTAATTGTTAATATTATTTATTTATTTTATTTTTTGGGCCAGGTCAACTCATATTATATTGTTTTATACTGTCCTTATTTATTTATTATTGTGAGCCGCCCCGAGGCTTCGGTGAATGGGGCGGCATAGAAGCCTTCTAAATAAATAAATAAAATAAATAAACCTCCCTTTCACTCAGTGTATCGCAGAGCCATGGTCAGAGGTAGCCCAATTATGTCTTGTCTGCAGTAGAAGAACAGTCCTGTTGTTGTCGACAGTGGAAACACAACCAGGTGACACAAGGTGCTTTGCTTGGTGTATTTTCAGTGAAATGGCTTCCTCAAAACGTGCCATGAGACTTGTGGAAGAGGTCGTTGCATCCTTAGGCAGTTTCCTCTGCACTCCCTCCGTAGTTTATCTAGGATGGTGGAAAACTGCTGTTTGGATGAAACGAAAGTTGTGAGATGCAGGGCAGAGCATGAGCCTCTGTGGCAGCATCGACACACGTGCTTCCATATTCGGAGGCTTGCATGCACTGACCATGGTGGCAGTTGGACTGTGACCCAAGGGAGCCATCCGTGTTCCGTGCTGCGTGGGGTATGCTGAGATTTGTAGGCTTAAAAAAATCCTAAACCCACATCTTCTACAAAAAAGGGGTTATTATATTAACCATGTTTTTTGAGCTTTTAGGAAGGAGTTGTGCATTGGTAAAATTGAATGTTGACTCATTCATTACTTTCTAGACATTTATCCTATTTGCCTTATTACAAGGAAGTTGAAAATGGTATTTTAAACTGCCGCTTGGGCAAACAGATCAACAGATAACTCAAGAATGAATTCAATTTCGGTTAGTTCATTCTTCAGTAAAAGATACATATAACTAATCCTAAATTACACGCACTTCTCCCTTTACTATTTTACACAGAATGACTGCATTTAAATTGGAACGCTTTTCTAAAGTTTTCAACTTTGCTTCAGGGAAGATTGTAACTCGGAAAGGAGTAAAGTGAGTACCTTATCTTGTTTACCGATACTTTGTAATATGGATCAGTGCTGCATATCTTGGTATTTAAAAGCAGCTCTGTTTTTATCCCACTGAAGTTTTAATCCCACTGTTATTAAAACTGTTAACTGTGAATAAGATTTCCTGATCAAAGGGTCATATTCTGGTGAGAAGGTTTTTCATGCAGTATATATTTCTACAGCTAACATGAGCCCGTTTGTTTTTGTTTGCATAACTTTTGTGCCACAGTAAAAATATTTTGCACTTTGATGATGTTCAGTATCTTGTACACTTCAAGTGGTCATAATGCCAGTTCATCTGTTTCAATTCCAAAATGCTTATATATTAAATATGAAAAAGTCAAAGGGAGGCGAATACTTTTTCAAGGCACTGTGTGTGTTCAGTAAATGACATTCCTTCTCTCATGCACTTAGTTTCATTATGGTGAACAGCGTTGCTCTAGAGGGCGATGGCTGCAGCATCTGCCGAACAGCGGAAGCGAGGCTTGCTCAGCTCTCTCACAAACTCAACTGCTCGTTGCGGGTAAGGATACCAGCTAATTAGGAAGCCCGATTGGGCTAATGAAGCGTCTACACTGAGGTGCTCAAAGAATCTTTCTGAACTAGGCTGTGCCTTTCTCTAGCTACTACTTCTTTCCTTTATTATTTCACTTCTACTGTAGTGGGGTGCTTAGTTGCTAAAATGTGCACAGAGAATTCTTATGTCTGTTAGACCTCCCTCTTCACAGGGGTTCTGGTTATGTTAACAGTCAGAAAGCTGCTGCTTTCTTTGTTGAAGTGAATGTGTAATCACTGAATTGGAACATGTGGACAGTGATGGTGGCAGAAGTTGTTCTGTCCGGCTTTACCATTGAGTTGTCATCTGATCTGAGCTTGAATCGCCTCTAGCTATCTAGTGCTATACCATTGTTGGAAATCAGTAATGGATGAAGGCCAGTAGAACGAGCTGATCCGAAACAAGATGAAGCTACTGTTGGAGAGGTTTTGTCTGAACTTAGGAGGATTCAGGGTTGTTTTGAATGGTATTACATTTCCATGGAAAGAACAGGTTTGTGTTGTACACGGCTAGATCCAACACCATCACCTGCGCTCAAGTGGCTTTTGGTATGCAGTAGAAATGGTTTGAGTAGAGGTAGCCTGGTCAGAGTCATCTTGCTTGACTTTCATTTCTGGGCACAGTTTAAACATAAAAACGTAAGACAAGCCATGCCACGTCAGACCAAGGGCTCACACGGTAGCAATCCTGCTGCCCTCAGGATCCCTACCCAGGCTGCACAGCAACTGGTGTATGAAGGCATGTTGCTTCTGGTAACGGGGGTAGCACACTGCCAGCAAGGCTAATAGCCATCAGTAGCCTGATGATTACTGAGAAGATGATTACTGATAAAACTGAATGGTTTGGGATAAAGATCTGAGAGAGACTGCCTTCTGCTGCTCAAACCTTGTGGTCATACTCAGAAGCCCTTTTCCGTGTCCCTTATTGTGTTAGATGCACAGTTGACTGGAGAGAGGGGGGTGTCTAACTTGGAACTTATTTGGGAATTTTTCTCTCCAGTGGTACTTACCCAGCACCAACCTTGATTCCATTTTCATGCTAGATGAAGACGTCTTACCCGTCTGCTGAATCTTGTGATTTGTGCCTGAGTGCTTTCTGCTGTTTAATCTGTTTGATATCCATTTAGGTATGTGTGCTATTACTGTGTTGCAGGACAGCCTTTCCTAAGCAGCCTGTTGCTAGCTCCAGCGCATCTGTTGCTTCAGCTCTGAGCCAGTAGTTCCTTGCACATGGTTGGCATTATCTTTTAAAACTTCCAGGCTAGCAGTTAGAAAATAGCCATGGTCATTGTCTTGTCATGTCATTCTCTAGATCTAAGCTTCTAACCTTCAATTGGCTCTTCTGCAAAGGAATATGGGGTGTTTTAAAAAAGTTGTATTTGATTTTTCTGGACAGGAAGGAATCCAACACAAAGAAAGGTGCAGTGATGCAGACAAAATTCCAGCTTCGGTTCCAATTCTGTTACAGGTATGTGGGGAGACCACAATAGCATGAGACATCTTTGAATTTTATCTAGCATTAAAACATGATGGACTTCGTTAATGATCTATTTGTACTTGTTTTTCAACTTTTCAGCATTATCCTCTTTATCGAAGAAGTGACTCAAACTGTACCGGGGAGGATTCTGCTCCTTTGGATAAAAAGAATGACCTCTTTAGAGAGAAGTATGATGTGCTTTCCCAGGAAGCCTCCCAAAAGGTATCTTCAGTGTGTTACAAAAGATGTTTCTCATCTTTGCTCTCTGCCCTGAGTTTTGGAGGTGTACAAGCTACCCTTGGTGAACAAGCAGTATCGGTTATATATAACTGCGGAGTGATTTTATGAAAAGCAAATTTGTCTTGCTATTTTGTTGACAAATTGTAGTACCAATTATATTTGCTAATGGCAGCTTGTATTATACATGCACTGGAGTATCGCCAAGCCGGGCAAAGAGGTTCCTGGATGGTATTTTCTCATCAGTCCTTCTTCATCCACATTAATTCAATGCAGTTCTAAAGCGTTTCCTTCTTCTGTACTGCCCTTTTGCTACATTACATTTAGTAACTGTAACACTGGTATAATCATCTACAGGAAATAGGAATTTACTGGAAATTTCTATTCTTGGGTTCCACAGTAGGTCATTTTGTCCCTTTGGGATGTACTTCCTTATTGTCAAAGTTTCACTGTATTGTTCTGGTGGAGTCCGAAAGAAACCCCCCTAGTTCTAATAAGTGGAAAAATATGTGTAGCTGGATCGAATGCCATTTTTCTTACAATGATAGCAGAAGTCTATTTGTCCAGACAGAATTGCTGTCAGTTGGAGAGAGTTTTCCAGATTCCTTGTGAAATGGTGCTTTCAAGGTGCGTATATTCACAATAGGCAAGCATGCAAGAGATCATGATAATGAAGGAAAATGAAGGGAAAGAACCCCAGTGATAAAACACTGATGACTGCAGATTCAAGAAAAAGAACAAAACCTCAACACAAGCCAGCAAAGAGCGTGTAAAAGACCAGAAGATCTCCGTGAAGCAACCCTTGTGGTGGTCTGAGAACTGAGGGAATGGGCAAGACCTGCTAGGGCCACATATGCTGTGATGCTGGAGATTTCTCTCAGCAACAGGCTTTTCCTGAATTGAGGCTCCAGGCAGGCACAGAGCCATATATGTGATGCACAGGACCATGAAGAAGTGAAAGTAATTTATATAACTGCCTTGAATGTCACCTTTCTTGGTACAAAGGCAGGCTCCAAATCAAATGAGAATGAATCATCAGCTGTACTAATAGATGCACACCAGGAAAAAAAAGCAACAGTACGTGATGCTACTGGGTTCAAAATATTTGTATTGGATGCTAAACCACAAAGAGTCCTTTGGAGGAGAATTAGTGTAGCATACAAGTTTAATAATAGATAAATAAATTCACACAAAATAAATTCAAAAAGCATGATCCCTCAGGCTTCTACCTCTGACTGTCAGATGTTTTCAGTCTCTCGATATGGAAAGTTCAAATCTTTTTTCCAATATTGCTTAGAGATATGATGTACAAAAAGCAGCTCATCGCAAGCGCAGGATTATATTTGCCACTGTACTAGATACAACCTTTGGAGGACACACTGACCCAATGATCCATCATCAGAAGAAGCAAGTTTATAAAGGCAGTAACACTTTATGAATTTACAGAGAGATCTTCACATTGCTGCACAAAGCAGTGTAGCTGCTGGTCACCCTTGAACTCAGAGGATAATGGCTATCTTATGGAGCGTGAAAGGAGCGTGGAGGCGAAGGTCACTTCCATGGTTCTTCTGTTCTGCGAATCAGCTCTCTTAAGGGGGCTTTTTGCCCTGGTGTGTGAGGAGGTGAGGCACAAGGACACTGTGCAGGCTGATGGAGTCCTTCTGCCCGCCTTCCCTCCCTGCCATGGCCCTGGCTTCTCTTGAGACAGAAAAAGTCACACTTCTTTCTGTGCCAGCCATGAGGGAGGATGCTGTGATCTCAGATTATCAGTTCTTCTCTCAGAGCAAACTTGTGAGGTTGGAGCTGGGACTCCAAAGACTCCTGAGGCCATCCAGAAAGGATAGGGTTGTGCCCATAGCCATATAAACTTAGTTTATCTGAACGACATGTCTCATAATCTTGGTAGCCATCAAACTTCTAGTGGTTGGCATATTATGACTACTGAAGATGTGAGTGCTGGACTCTAAACCTACCACTGAAGGCAGGAATCACCATTGCGTACTTTGGCCACATCACTTAAAGCAGCCACTTTGCCTTACTCCTGGCCCAAAGGTGCAGCAGAGACACAGTGTCACTGCAGGGTCTTTTGCTTTGGCAGCAGCTGCAGTCCCACTTTGCATGGGAGACGGAGAAGCCCAAGTTCTTAGCTGAAAATGTCCCTTTCCCCCACAAAAGGGATTAGCTGCTGAAGTGAAACTCAGTGTTGGCAGAGCTGTGTTACATCTTTGGTTGCAGAGAAGGCCTTTGATAATATTGGGAAATTTTGGGTTTCATCCAGACTTTCAGAAATGGGTTACATATTTACATTAACTAGAGGCAGTTAGCACCAGTGGAGCCTTTCCTACTTGAAATAAGTTCTAGACAGGGATGTCCTCCTTGCCATCAGATATTTATGTTTGGAATTCCTGGTGTGTGCTGTCAGACAAAAACCTAATATCCACGAATTTGTATATAATGCATTTGAATATAATCTTACTCTGTATGCTGATGATATTCTGTTGCTTGTTTCAGAACTCTGATCATTAGTTTCTGCTTTGGTGCAAATGATTAATGATTTTGGACACTTACCTGACTATGCTATTACTTAGACAAAGACAGAACTCATATATGTTGGAGATAATACACCCCACATGGTGTCTCTTTAATAAATGTTTAATTAAGTCAGTCGATTGTTGGAGGTGTGATGCTGTTAATGCTTCTCTTCATATGTTTTGGTGATGTCCAATGGTAGCTTCCTTTTAAGAGAGAATAATTTGGATAAACATTGTGATGGGGAGTTCTTTAATGTTTAAGGATGCACATGTTCTTTTGAATTACCTAGCCAACTCTTGGAATCTAAAGCACGGTCAGTGTAAATATATTTCAGCATCCTTTTGACGGCTAAAAGACTGATATTACAACGTTGGAAAGGGAAATGGCCAGCTGTAATAATATAGGGTGGGGGATTTAATAGGGGCAATTGCAACTTTTGAAAGGGAGGCCTTTAAGCATAATCTTGTTATGTGCCATCAAGACATCTCCGACTTAGGGCAACCCAATGAATGAATGTCCTCCAAAACGTCAAGTTATTGACAGTCCTGCTCAGCTGTGACTCCCTTTATGGAGTCAGTCTATCTCTAATTTAGTTCTGAATTTTGCTTTGATTGATTGGACCTTCTGGAAGAGGTTTATTTTTTGTCTTTTGTTGTTCTCCTCTATTTCTTTGCACTGGCCATTGTAATAATTCTTGTCTTGACATGTAATTGAAAGGTTGCATTCAGGATACTGATCCTTTCTATCAAACTTGGGACTCTTTTTATTATTGGCTAGAGAAATGGGGCTTCGCATAGATTTAAGTATGTTCATAAGTTAACATAAAAAGAAAAAATGTGGGGGGCTGACCCATTAGGTCCGATGTTTCTGATGATTGATGTTGGTTTTTTAAAGTTTTTTTTCTTTGTATTAGGTTTATTTAGAACAAAACTTATTAAAAAAAAGGATACTGATCCTATTTCTGTCACTTTTTGTGTTTTTGCTTCATCCTTGTCCTAAGCAGTTGTTTTTATTCTGCCATCCATCTACCCACCGCTCAACTTTTTTTGATTCAGGATTTTTTTTTTTTTTGAGTTCTTAAGAATGTCTCTGGTTTCAGTTCACAGTCAGATGAGTTCAGTAATGCAGATAGGTTCTTTATGTGGACTTTAAATTCCTCAGAAGTGTTATCGAAGTTGTATTTTGGCACTGTGGTTCAGTTAATGATCAGCTTTATTCTGATTTTTTAATATTAAGAGTTAATGGCCACTACTGTAATCTGCTCCTAGTCTTGTTTTGGCAGCAAGAGCGCAGCTTCTCCATCTCGTGCTTGCAGATCTTTATTTGATTTCTCTGTTGGCCATCTGGTATGTCCATGTAAATTGTCATCTGATCGGTTGCCTGGAGAATGTATCTGCGATAAACAGAATTCTATGCATTGTTCTCCTGCTTAGTTTCTACCCCTAGGCTTTGCTTCCCACTGTTACGTTCTAGTTATCTGTGATTATCAGCCTGTCTTTGTTTTGATGTGTTTTCAATTTCCTCTTGAACACCTGTGTAAATATTTTCAATTTCTTCTTCAACATCTATTGTTAGACAGTATTCTTGACTGATGGCTATGTCAATAAATTTTCCATGAATTCTGATGGATGTAATTGGGCAGACTTTGCAGTTTAGCCCCTTATTTCCTATGCTGCATCTTGCATCAGTGTTAGAGACACTCAATTTCTGAATTTGTCATTTACAGAGTAAAACCATTTGTGCTTCTCTGAATGAAAACATCCTGGTCCAATCTAATTTAGATGGCTCACACCAAGTGCTGCAATATTTAACTATTCCATTTCTTGGCTTTTGGTTCCAGTTTGCCTTGATTCCTCCATCTCATAGAATTGTATATGTTGTGCAGCACTGGAAGGTTCTTTTTCCTCTGTGCATGTCAGTCACTAGACTTCCTTTCAGTTTGGATCTAGTTTTATGATTAGTGGCAGCATTATTCATACATGTCTTTTCCCAGTAGCTAGTTGAATACCTTCCAACGAGGAATTTTCATTGTCTGACAGCATTTCTTGTTACATTTTTGGATTCTTCATCATAGGGTTTTCAAGCTAAGAAAATTCAGAAACCATTGCTTCCTTCTTTGCAGTACTAACCAGAGTAGCTTGAGTGTCACTGTCACTCTATGTCGCCTTCAACCACTGCTGCCCAGTAGCTGCCCTTCAGAAGTTTCTCTGCCCACATCACCATGAAACATATCCATTCTCTTCTGATGTGACTGTAATGCTTGAAAAGGGTAGATGCACCTAAGTCGAGTGTCTCAGCTTTGACCATTCTGCCTTGGGTTGCTTTGCTGAGAGACCAGCCTACCGAGACAGTCTGGCCTGCTGGTGACATTGAATTTTTGCAGTGCTGACGCTCTCAAACCCCCTTCCCAAGTGGGCCTCCAAGGCAGGCAGGCATAATCCACTCATGGATAAATATATAGTCATTTGGCTTCCCTTTGTCAAAGAATATGCGTAAATATTTTATTGTGTTACACACTAACACACAGGGATATATGCTATGGAGCCTTTTCTTAAATAATGATCTGATTGGATTTTTGAGCCATCTTTGCTCCTTTTTTCATGGTGTGGTTTGGTGGTGTTTGTATTGAACAATAAAAATTAGAAAAGCTTGGACACTGGCTGGACCAGTTTGGTTTCTGAGCTGTAATATGACTGTTGAAAAAGCCCAAACAGCTTTCTTAAAGGCAGTTTTAAATCTGTAAGTCAAGTGTGATGTGGTATTTTATTTTTCCATGTCTGCCGTTTACATATCCCTTTAATTTAAGGTCAGTTGATTGTATGCAGTCTGGCATCTTGGGAGTCAGAGCAGCTGAGCAAGCCTGGTTTGAGTCAGGGTTAGGGCTGGAGTCCTGCCCTGGCTAAGCAAACCATGAGGTTGTGGGTGCTTATGGGTAGAGAATGAGACTGTGATGGTACTAAGGGAGAAATTGCTGGGGAACATCCTAAGAAAAGTTCTTTTCTCCCTTAGTGTGGGCTTTGAAGTTAGCAGCTTGTGCTTTAAGAGATGAAGGAGGAAAGACAAAGGTTGGGTATATAGTCACAGTGCCCTCTGGGTCTTGTAAATGCATGCTGGTTACTGAGATTTAGTGGCTAGTTAGTCTAGCCTTTACCTAGAAGGCCATGAACGCTGGTTTGAGCTGAGTTTCTACTTCTACCAAATGATATGCTGGGCAAGAGACTTGGGATCAGCTACGCTTCTCTGGTCCTTATGCATTAGAGTTGTGTCATGGATAGCTTTGGATGCGTGCACACATGTATGTGTGTGTTTGTAATACATTAGTACTTACTGAAATAATTAAAGGGAAAATTGGATAACAATGTAAAAATATCAAGATATATGGAATTGTTTTTTTAAGTCAGAAAATCTAAACAACTAATTACATTTTGCTCTCCCTTTGTAGTTGTTATGGTGGTTTCAGCCTCGCTTGATTCTCAGTGGTCATACCCACAGTGCCTGTGAAGTGTTACATAATGGGAAGATCCCAGAAATCAGTGTTCCATCATTCAGTTGGAGGAACAGAAACAATCCTAGTTTCATACTGGTAAATTTAAATAATTTTTATTTTCAGATAATTTTCATAATATAAATCAACATAGCAATCAGCTATTTTCTCAGACTGATGCTACCTGTAAAAAAGCAAAACAAAACAGCTCCTCCCACCCTCTCCTAAAGTACACTTAATTTGAATACAAAGCACCCACTTTATATAGCACATACTTGGGGACCTATCCAACTTGTATAGTGCAAAGTAATTTTTGTAGATTTTACAACAGTTTGTAAATACAAGTGTATTTAGTATGTTTCCATAAAGAGGATGCATTGTAAACAATTTGACTGCAACAATCATCAGTAGTCCGCAACAAACAGTTTTAAGACTTGTTTTTGCTTGGCTGATTTATCCACAAAACCGTATCTTTCGTTGTCTTTCAAAAGTGCAAGTATCTATCACTTAGGGCAGCAAAATTTTATTCAGATGAACCTAATTCACAGTTTGCTTACTTTGGGTATACTAGATTACAACTTTCAGTAGATTAACCAGGAGCACAAAAAGTTTCCCAGTTCTAAAACATATTTAATATTTCAGTCTTCAAAAAACAGTTCTAAACTAACTTTACTTTTTCACCCTCTTGAAAAGGCAATGCAGTTATAAGTTTCTTTAGTTAACATGATGTTAAACAGTTCTTCTTGAAAAGCAGAACTTTTCTGTTTTCTGTCCCATTTTATAGAGTGACTACTTACCAGATAATCCAATTTACTTCAGAATGTGATATTTCCAGCATTCAGAAGTATAGTTGATGATTGATTATTGGCTTCATTACTCCCACACTCCCTCCCCATATCACAGAAATATAGTGGCTGTCACCCAGCACAATTCAACAGCTTTAATTTCATTGATTGCAGTGGGCTTAAACGTGTTTATTCAATGTTGGATTGTGGTCAGTAGCTACCACACTCATGTCTGTAGGAAGAGCCTATGCTGGTCCATCCAAATAGCAGCTATTGTATATTTATTTAGGAATGGGACTGTCCTAGGGCAGCTTAATGCTTAACAGTTGAGTAATTAACATAAAAAGTTTCAAAGCTGTCTGAATCTTATCCCCAGGACAGCTGAAAACACTGATGCTGTGAGAAGAACAGAACTCTTTTATGTTAATATAATTTTAAAAATGTACAACTGCATGTCCCCAGCCTAATGTTGTTGCTTCCATTTCACAGGGCACCTTAACATCAACCGACTTCTCTCTCGACAAGTGCTTTCTTCCATATGAGAATACAGTTATTACTCTCTACTGTACAGCAGGAGCTGTGCTTATGGTCTTCATCCTAGCTCGCCTTCAGCTTCTAGTTTCTCCTTTTCGTTTTGTTCAGCATTTAATCACTAAGTATAAAGCACTATGAAGAGTCAGACACTTGTAACCAGTCACTGACACACCAAAGCTAAAGAACAGTCCGTCAGACTACATTCATGCCAGCAAGTACGTACTTGAATTGCTAGCCCAAAGGCAGGTTGTCTTTACATACAGAAAGTCCTATACAGTTGATATGACTTTTACTACACAGGATAAATTAACTGAATGCTTCATGCTGTACAAAAATATTGTATTCTACAATCAAATGAATCATTTTCTTGCTAAAGTTTTTGTATCAAATAAGTATATTAAAAGTTTGTAACTGTACACTATGTAAGTCCTACCAGCCTCCTCTTGTGTCTGCATGGGTGTCCTATGCTGTTAAAGGCTCTGTCTTTCTAATTGGAAACAATTTCAAAGTGTTATTGCTGCGTGACCATCTGATGTGGTACTTCTTGTCCTTGATGTCAGCAATACAAGATGCAGAGTTATTTTACAGTAAGAGATTACCAAAACAAATGGCTGTTGGGAAGAAGCAACTTACTAGCCTTGGATGAGCCACTTGGTTTAAGTTAGGCATACATAATTTTAGATGGTGGTCAGGTGACATTCATCAAAACCCCTTGGTAATAAGCTTGTAGAGTACAGGCAAACCAGGCCCAAAAGCAGGCCCAAATAAAACAAAATAAAACTAACATAGAAGCCTCTTGCACTCTTGAAATATCTATATGCAGTTGGTGTATCCTACAGACACATGTCTAGAGGTTGGCTGAAATTCTTCCCGGGAATAAGATGTAAGCAGCTGCTCTTTCCCCCCACATGGTTCATACAAAGTTGTTACAACATGATGCACACTGTACTGGCATTCTTCTAAAGGAGATGGTCCTGGCCAGAAACCTTTACACAAAGATCCTAAACAGCAAGTCCCATCTAGATCAATGGTATTTTCAAGTAATGTGCTTAGGAATAAAACTTAAGCAAGGGTATTAAGCTAAGCCATAGAAGTCCTTTAGCCTGAATTACTTAATTTACTTACTTTCCTAGTAAACCTAGTGCTTAGGTTATGGGTAAACCAATGCAACATCAAGCAATTACTGTAAACAGTTACATTGTAGGTAGCACTATTAGGCTCGTGTACAACTAGTCTATTTTGCATTTACAAAGGGACAAAATAGGATAGAATGACAGCTCCCCTGTGCCCTTCTCCATGTCCACCCAGTTATAATCTTCCACTTCTGATAGGCAGCAGTTTGCATTTTCCCTTTGTTTTTAGCGGAAGTAGGACTTTTTTGGTGGTATTTTGAATCACTTCAATATAAATGTTTTTCAAACATTCTGAGAACATGCACTGTTGCCATTACTGAAATATAATTCGAGTTTGTCAAACTAGCAGTTTCAAAGTAGGTCTTAAAAATACAGTACCTAGGAAGATTACTAACGTGACCCCTTCTGCAGAGTTTAAACCACAACACACCTGCCCAGTTACCAGGAAAAGCAGCCCGTGCTTATATAAATAATAAACGTGCTGTCCTTATTTAAAAACTGATCTTGTTGTGTGGTTGCAAGTATTTCAGAGTAATTTGTCTTTCAATTTGAAGCAAAAGACAAATATAATGCAAGTGATAGTAATCTATGGCGTTATGTAGGCTAACACTTCTAAATTTGTTATTGCAACTACAAATTTTAAAAGTTTGTACAGGTTATCTTAAACACAGGAAACTATGTACTTCGACATAACACCTATGTATAAAATATAAAGCAATCTTATAATTACGGAGAAGGGCATGCCTTATTGCTACAGCAATTCTTGCTTTTATATTTTACTGTACCACAACTTATTTGTGAATGTCATTTGCATAAATTATTCAAGTTTGAGAAATATCCACACATTGTGATTTTACAATACTTAAAATAAACCCATTTTCTAAGGTCTCTTTATTAAGAGAAAAAAATGTCATAATCTTCTTAGGCCAGACAAAATGGTTACACCTTTTCTTCTTTCTTGCAATGTGCACAATGAAAGCAGCTGTTGCAACAAAGATTGAAGAGCCTTTATCTAATGGCGATTTTACACTTTCACAATCTGTGCAATTGTGAAAGATCTGGAATAACCAAAAAATTACTGAACATGGTTTTTTAAAGGTCAAACAAGATTCCTGATTCCCAGGTCAACACCACCATGTTTTAATTTGGACGCTTGAATCCACTTCAGTGTTTTAAAGCTGAGAGTGAGAGAAAGGCATGTTGCTGTAAATATCTGGGGGCAGCAGTAACTTTCTTGCAAAGGTAAAATGACTAAATTTTGCATAATTTATATTTTTTTATACTAAATATCATTTTATATAAACCAGAAAAACCCCTAAACTCTACAGAGAAGGTTTTTAAACCTCCAGTCACTGCTGCAGGTAAAGTTGACATCAAGCTGTACAGCGCAATCAAAAACATACTTACATCTTAGCTCATTTTACAGGTACAGCCATAATCAAGGCACAAAGATCTTCTACAAGTATTTTTCTTCAATAAAATTGTACAAAATAATATTATACTTTACAATCTGTACAATATAATAAACCAGCAGTAAAACAAAAAATATATTATATATATATATTTATATATATATATATATAATGTATAGGGAGAAGACTTGTCCAAAAATGATCTAAACTTGTTAGACCCTTTGTGGACCGAAGAAACAATGTGAGGGTGGGTTTTCTGCCTAGGTGCAACAGGCTGAAAAAGTAGCTCTAAATTCAAAAGCCTGAGGTGTGTAGAGACTCATAGCTCCAAACCTCCAGGAAAAAAATTGCTTATCTTCCCTGTGCCTCATTATCTACTCTCTTTCCTATGCCGACAATGGCTTCAAAGAGGAGGTCACTTCTTTAGTTGACCTGCAACTCACGTTATGTTAAAAATTATGACAGTGTAATAAATATTGTGGTGCTGCTACATCACGCATGTATACATCCTCAACAGTATTTCATAACCCTGAAACAAAGTGCATTATTCTTTTTTCCCTGCCTATCAAGTACTCCTCAGTGTCATGGTAAAAAAGGAATCCACGTACACTATAGGTATGACATGTTGTCACCCAACTAGCAGATATCAGCTTGAACTAACAAGCCTGCTGAAAAAATAGAGCAGGCCACATCCAATTAAAAATGGAACAAAGAAATGCAACCAAACTTAAGGAAACGGAGGTAGCCAAAGGCCTTAGTGGAATGACGAAGTGACATATAAAAATAAAGCACACATATTGTCCCCTAAAGAATGGACAAGGTTGAAAGGCTAATCAAAGTAAAACAGAGAAGGCAGATGTATCTGTATGGTATCTTCCTCTGTGTGAGGAAGTCTAGAAAGAAAGAGAAGATGTCTAAAACCACAGGCTCCATGGTGTTCCATATTACAATAGTTCATACTGGCGAAGATGCATTCTCTGAATGATGTCTCTACAGTCGTTGAAGACTCTACGGATGTTTTCTGTGTCAACTGCACATGTAAAGTGTGGGTAGCAATAATGCTTTCCGTCTCCTGTTGCTGTGCTTATTCTCTGTGGGGGATAAGGAAAAAATGCTCAAGACTATTCTAGTAAAAATTCACAGGCTGCACCTTCCATCGATCAGTTACCAAAATAACAGCATTGTTTTGAGAAATGGAAGCCTGCCTTTCAGAAATTACAAAATGCAAACATACTGGATTCAATGAAGGATAAGAACAGCTGAAGGCCAAGCCAGTGGATTGTATGCATCAGTCCTATCTGCTTCAGTTAATATTATTTGTAATGCATTAAATGTAATCATTATTACATTATAGTTATATCCTGCCATTTGTCCTCTTACAAGGAACCCAAGACAGAGTACAAGGTTTTCTGTTCTTGCAATAACAACCCTGTGAGGTAAGCTAGGCTGTGAGTGACCTACAGTTGTCCAGTCGGCTTCATGACTGAGGAAGGAATTCCTGCTCTCCCGAGCCTCAGTGCAGCTCTTTTAACTACCCACACTAGCTCTCAGCTGACGCAGACCAGATGCTTTAGTTCAAAGGTACCAAAGGCATACCAAAATACTTCTGCGACTTACAGGAAGTGATTTGCCATGCTTTGATTCTCTTTCCTAATATATGCGTAACTTCATTTCTTTCCATTCAACTTACATTTTTGCACACCAACAAATATTTGCATTGATATTCTGAGAGCATGTGGCAGCTCAGTTGTGTTGGCTGCCTTTGGAGGTGCGTTACAGACACAGTTCTGAGCACACTTTTTGCAGCCAGACAATAGGAAGAGCACCTTGTACAACTTGCATTTGCAGTTTGTGCATTAACCGTTTTGCAAAATAGGGCAATAATGGTTAATCATTAACTGTTCGTTTCAAGCTGTAATGACTATCTTATTTAAGGATTGAAGTAAAAACCTTTGTAGTCAAACATGTTTATGGGCAGTAAATTGGTAAAAAAAGGGAAAAGAAATACGTACTAAAAATTCATCCCGGATAAAAAACTTTGCTCTTGTAACTTTGGGGTCTTCTCCAGCATCTGGTGTTGCTGTTAGGAAATAAGTAATAATAGTTAGGAGCTCTTATATATTTATTTATTTAATGTATTTATTAAAAACTTTTCTATCCCGTCCCCTACAGAACATCTCGGAACAGCTTACAATAAATAGACTGTGCTCAGCACTGTCAAAAGGTAAAATCATTCAGGCCTCTGTGGCAGATGCACTGGAACTCGGAGGCTTATCAGCATTCAGTGACAGTAATCTCTGCTGCTGCTCCTTGTGTCCAGCATTTTGTTTGGAATGCTGATTTCAGAAATCTGAATTTGACACTGGTGATGGGGCGGGACAGAGTCTTAATAGGATTGGCATAAGCCCTTGGCCACTGCCCCTCCTTCTCCCCCCTCCCCAGCATTTCTGTTTTTGCCCTCTCTGAGGCCTAGGAGTGGCCTCAGGTAAGGGAAGGGTGCTGATTATCTTTCCATGGCAGCTGGAAGAGGGGCAGAGTGGGAGCTCAGCACAAGATCACAATCTCAGAGCTAGGCAGCCAAAGATGCCTATGACCCTCCAGATGATCTTGGAGGCCGTAAGACTGTTCCTTTGGTCATTTAAATACAGCTTCATTTTACACACACAGTTTCTGAACAGAAATATACTTTAAGTACGTGCATGTCTACATTGTTAAACTGGCACAGATGTAATAACATCAACCACAATATTCCCGTGTGTGATGCTTTGTTGTGATGAGGAGACAGCAGTTTCAGACAGGGGTAGCGCTTGGGACCTTCTACATGCAAAGTATCTTCTTTAGCAGTGACCTACAGCCACTTCACTCTTTGACAAGTAGCATTTAAGTATATGTACAACACATTCATGCTTAATATCACCATACAGAATTTGCTCCCAGGCTGTCTACTTTATGTTTGTGGCAGTGAAACTTCCAACACAGATTGGTTCAATGGCATGGGATGATCAGTTGTTGACGAAGATAAAAAACGTGCAGTCCAACTTCTCTGAGGGAAGGGAAATTGGACACTTTGCATGGGATTAAATCTTACAGGCTGGCTGAGGTTGGGAAATGTTCTGGGAATCTGGAAAGCTAAAAGACAGGAAGCCCAAAGGCAGGACACTAAAGAAGGGTGCAGTAAGACTGAGGTGGAGGAAAATGAACAAAAAAGTAAGCAAAACATTTAGATGTTAGGAAAAGGGTGCAGGTTACAATAAGTAAGACAAAGATGGTAGTCATAGAGGGACTTCTGAAGAAACGTGATGGTGTTTAAAATTAGGTGGGTCTATATGGCATGGGATGATGAGTAGAGGAGAATTACGAGAAGTGTCACACACAGGGGTCCCCAAAGCCTGAGTGACTTTCAATGCCCGTGTTTGCCACTGATCTCGCTTCTCCTTTGGGGAAGGGGCTTGGGTCTTGTTTCTGATGTGTGCTGGTACTTCAGAGGTACCCTGGAACCCAGGAAGCTGCCTTACACTGATTCAGACCGCTGGTCCATCCAGCTTAGTATCGCCTGTATTAAGCAGCAATCGCTCTTGAGGCTCCGAGAGGCCAGGGCTTGAAAAAGACACTAGCTGAGGCAGCCACCATTGTAGCAGCTGCCATTGCTATGGTGGCTATTGGATGGGGTAGCTTGTTACATGGGAGGTGCTGGTGCAGAAACAGTGGGTGCTGCTGTTGTTAGTTTGCTGCTTGTGAGTCTGGGTTGCAACTCACCCCAACTGTTGTGGTTTCTGTCACTCACTCTTTCCTCCCTGCTGTTTTTTAATCTCTCTTGGTTTTCATGTATTTTATGAGGCACAGGCAAATTGTTTCCATCTTCCACTGGCACAACCTGCTCCCTCTGGCCTCAGCGTCAGAGAGTATGGGAAAGTGCCAGAAGACCCTCAAGACCCTGGTAATCTGCACTGGCCTTTGCATGGGCCTGCACCGAAGTGGAGTTTCTTAAGGAGGTTCTTAACAGAGGCAGAATAAATAGACAAAAGCCTGCGGGGCAGCGAGCTGACAAAATACAAGGTGGTGCAGAAAGGAAACGGAAGAAGGAGGAACCAAGTCGCAAGACACAGCGTTAAGGGACTGCAACTTTGTGGCAGGATGGGTGGAAGTCTTGGGACTGCTGGCTTGGGAGTCAAAAGGGTTATAGGGTTGCTAGATCTAAAGCAGGGATGGGGAGTGTGTGGTCTTCCAGATGTTGGACTGCATCTCTCATTATCCTTGTTATGTTATGTTTAGAGTCTCAGTCCAGTATCATCTGGAGAACCACATGTTTCCTCTCTCAGACTAAAGTGGAACTGATGGGAGTTCAGTCAATTATGATTTCTATTGCCACTTCAGAATTGTGTTCAGGCCATTCTAAGGACATCAGGCCAAGAAGCTGCTTAGGGCTGGACCTTAATCACACATATTGAACTAACCCGCCAATTATCTGTCTACAGGCTTCTTGTACTATTTGTTGCAAAATGTCCTGTTGTATGTGGATATATTTATTTTCCTATCTGTGTGGCACAATTTTATTTAAGGAGTTTGTGCATGATATACTAGCATTATAGAACAGCAAGAATTATGCTTACTATTTAAATATGATTGGAAGATACTCACCATCTTCAGGTACAGTATAACGTGCAAATTCAGGAAAATAATCTTCAATTTTAGACTTCCCTGCCAAAACCTTTTCAGCCAGCATGTCTTGTTTGTTCAAGAACAAAATGATAGAAATTGTCCGTAACCACCTGAAAGGCCCCAAATTAGGATAGATTGATAAAAACTCAGTCCAACATGTTGATTTCCAACAGTGATTTTGGGAAACTCACAAACAGGGCATGGACGTGATGACCAGCCCCTTTCGTTTGCCTCCACTGGTGGAGAATCAGAAGTATCATTCTATTACTATGGCTCAGAAATATAGACAGGTCTATCTTCCATTAATTTATCCAATGCTTCAAAAAAGTCAAAAAATCAACAAAGCTATCCTGAGATCATGAATTCTATAAGCAAATCATGCATTTCCTTTGCTGTATCTCCAGGTAAATATTGTGCATGTAATTTCCTACTTCACATTAAAGCAGCTCTTAAAGCTGCCTTTTAGTTATACCAAATATAGACCAATGTATGTTCTTCTACAACCCATTTCTCCTTCCACAAACAAGATCTAATTTACAACTTTACATACAATTAGGGAGTGGGAAGAAATAGCAACTCTCCTATATGTCCCTTCATAATCATATGATCATAACCAAAAGGTTTCCAATTTTTCTTGTGTATGTATGCACATATGTCTGTCATACTTATCTTTGTTTTCTTTTTCTATATTTATAGCCCTCTTGTAATATGTGTGTGCAATATTACCATGTATTTCTTATTACTTTTAATTATATTGCTATACTGTGCAGAAGCTCTGGGTGGTTCACAACAGTAGATAAATATAATAAACATATAATTCAAAATACAACAATAAAAATATCCTAACTTACCTTAAAGAATTTAAAAGCCAAATTTAAAACAAATGGAAAAAACTAGTTTTGCTCTCTGCCTTACAAGAGACCTGTATGTTCCAAGTCATGCTAAAATGGATTCTAGTAACTGCTGGGTTTTATATTTTCCAGAGGAGTACAACTGTTTCTTCTTTGACTTAGAAGCCTTCAGTATAACCTGAAATATCTCTGTATCAGATATGATAAAACTGCATAACGCCACCTGTGGTCCATCTTAAAGACGACTACATGTTCGTTTCTGTTTTTCCACACTGAGAAAACTCTCTCCCTGATCTGCTATTCCTTTTTTTCAACACTTGGTAGAAGCAGCAGCTAAAAGGAAGGTCGACTGCCACCTCTACTTGCAAGTGCCCCCATCAGCTGGGATCCGAGCCCTCTTCACAGAGTCCATCAGAACAAGTTTCGCTTAAAACAAGAAGGTTGGGAAGAAAGGTCTTAGAAGCCTGCTGAGACTTGTTTCTGAACTGTGAACAGCCTTCAGCAGGTCCATTTTTCTGTGTGCAGTGATGTCATCTTGTAACTAACGCCTGAATTTGTTTTCCTGCTCCCTTTTGTGTCATATTTTTAGGTTGGAAACCTGAGAGAAAGAGGTGTCTTATTACTGATCTTTGTGAGCCAATCTGGAAGTCTTTCCTCACTGATTTAAAATGCTTTAAACCAACAAATAACTCTAGTGTGCAGAAACCTGGTGGTACTCATAGCACTCATTTCTTAGTTTTGGAATATTTATAATAAACCAACATGGTTACTTCTAATTTTAGCATTTAATCTACATGGATCAGAGGTAACCTGTCGTGTGCATCAATGTGGGTTAGGAAGTAAAGCATTCTGCACTGTGGTGAACTGGCAGACTAGAGTCCTTGCCAGCTTTAATTCTTTTTGTTTTTGTTTTCAATGAAACAGCACTGACAAGTAATTTCTTATTTTGAAAGATCAGCTTAAAAACACAATGTAAGGCAAGAATATATCCACTGGGATCCAGTAAGGGCAACATGGAAAAAATGTCTGTGTATGAATATCATCCTGCATGTGTTTTGCCAAAACAGTAGTTGGAACTGGCGGCATCAACCACCGTGTCCACCTCAGAGGTAGGGTTATTCCAGATTTCCCACTTTGGTATGTAATCCTCCGAAAGTGGAACAGCACCAATCCTCTGGTGAGAAAGATTCCGACACATGGCAGATTATAGCCTGTAGTTGTGCAAGGGGATCTTTGAATCGCAGCTATACTGTTTACAAATTCACTAGGAGTATTCTATTGAAAAGCAAAACATGATTTTAAAGGCAACACACACACTAAACTTGTTTAACCATGGATTCCACATTAATCCCCTTCAAATGCTAGATTTTATTTCTTGCTTTCACTAAATACATTTAATTACTTTCTGCATGGAAATCTTACCTATTGTTCCAGATACTTTTGAAGAGGTCCAGGGATTCCCGTAATCTGTTTGTGTTGTTGTCTTCCCGTATGACCATATTGTAACTGCTACAGGCCACAACGAAGATAATAGCTGTGACATCTAGGGAATAACATTCCATGGGCAGAATTAAATTTTAACTAAAGAATGTTATATTGCACAAGATATGATGATGTATGATTGACTGTCGTTTGTAAATAAATGTAGTCTAAGATATAGAGAAAATATGAAAGATATAGAGAAAATATGATTTTTTTCTAAGACAAAGAAACTCAGCTCAATTTAATTAATTTACATTTGCAATTAGGAAAATAGGAGGGAAAAAAGAAACTGCCTTAGACCAAACATGTAATGTGCAAATATTACTTACCATTAAAACACTGGATCCATTTTCTTCTTTCATCTCTCTGACCACCTACATCAAACATGCTGTTGAAAAGCCAGACAGTATTATCTTTTCCAATATATAAGGAAAATCATGATTTACATACTGTGGTATACTTCTTTTGCAGTAAATACTGCATGAAATGAAAAGGGAGCATTATCTTAGGGCTCTCTGCAAATATTCCCACATTCTTATAGTTGCTGCAAAATTTTAGTAAGTCCCACTGTCAAGGCATTAAGGAAGGAGGCACCAAAGATACTTGGTCAACTGAGATGGTGGGAAGTCAGTTGCAAAACAGGAAAAAGTTTGGCTGGCATTCCAAACTTATTTATTCATTCATTTATTTTGGCAAAAGATCTATATAGCATTCCATATTCCATTATGGAGATTCTGGAGCAATAAACAATAAAGAACGGAAGAGATAAAAGAATAAAACAGTATGTGAAAAAATCAAACTGACTGGCTAGTTCCAGAAGGCTTCCTGAAATAGGTGTCTTTAGGAGACATGGAAAATAATATAAAGTTGGCACCCAAATGTACTAGGTTAAAAACCTAAACAAAGTGGGACAAACAATTTTACTTAGAAATAGCATAGGGATTCCACTGTCTATAAGCAGTTCAAGGAAGGAAGGACATTTGGATATTTGAATTCATGTAATCTTTTTCAGGGCTGAGAAACTTTTTTTAGGTTTACCAGAGTTGTGTAAGCACTGTTTATAATGTAATAGACAATTTTAATTGTGTTTATATGTTGTACTGTTGAATGGAGGAAAATTACTGCAGATAGATTAGTAAAAAAACAATACCCTATAGGCTGATTAACATTCTGTTTGTGGAAGTTACATCTGTTCAACAGAAAAAGAATATAAAATCTCAAAATCTGAAGTTGCAATATTATTTCAGTTCAGAGAATGATGCACTTCTGTTCTTTAGCTTTCAGTATAAGCATATGGCTATGGAATTATTTCCACTGAAGTATGAAAGATCAAGGCCATCCATTTATTTACCAAATAATAAGCCATTTTTTAGAAGTATATAATCTTGAGTGACCTGTATGATAGATGACAAAACTGTATATTTTGAGGTTCTCACTTTGCATCCTATAAGAGCAAGAATGTTTGAAGAAAACACTTCATAATTTTAAAAAGTTTAGTTGTTTCTGCTTTACCAAGGATTACAAAAATGGGCACAAATTACAGATTATTACTAATATACTTACTGAAAGTTTACTTTATCTACTTGGAATCTTGTCTCAAAAATCCCAGATGTCAATACCCTGCATCTTAAGAGATCCTGGAAACAAGAAACACAATCGAGTGTTTGACATTTCCATTTCAAAAACATTAATCAAATTTGGATTTTAAAAGTACATGTAATAGATATATCAACATTACTGTGCAATAGATGCATGGTATGAGTTGAAACAATGGCTTGGTTCATATGTTATGTTATGTTCATATGTTCATACGTATCCCATAACTTATTGCTGGGTTAACTATGGGTTGTTTAAATATTCCAGTTCAGACAACATCTTAGCCTACAAATATGGCGTCTTTAGGTTAGCTGAAAACAAAAATGACATGTACACTAGTCTGCATATTCACTTGTTCACAGGCCTGAAATCCTTGGGTTAAACAACCAATGGTTTGTTATTACATGCAATTTGGACCAATCATTCTACTGCAGGAGAAGACAAACGTCAGGGTTATGGAATCCATTGTTGACACTTTCTGATTAGAATTCTCAGATCTATGAACTGGAACCTGATGTAAAAGACATGTATTTATAATGAAAGAATTCTGAGCACAAGATTTGTTCTGAGGATCAGAGCTGGACAAGGCCATAGTTCTTCAGTACAAAAATCCATTCCTATTTAGTTTTTCTCATTTCAGTAGTTTAACATAGGGGAAGCAGTCATTGCTGTTACCAATATCAAACAACTTAAAGTCAGACACTTTTGCTGATCAACTTCAAATCACCCAGGAACCTGATTTTGTGAAATGTTCTATTTGTATCACTCTGTTGCCAATATATGCTTTTCTGTGTAACAAGTACCAGCTTCTCCATTAACAACAAAATGACTAACTTTTTTTTTGTTCTAGGCCCCAGCTAATAGAAAAACGGATGTTCCAGCATCTGCGTTTAGATACTGGCCAGGATCAGGTTCAAAGAAGAAGTCCAACAGAAGTATTTTCTACTGCTTTTTGAACAGCCAATCTGCATGCCACATGACAGTTTTTTAGACTACCCTCAGATTAAAAAACTGTCTTTCTCTTTCTTCCTGTCTGTCTGTCTGTCTGTCCCTCTCTCTCTCTTTCTCATTGCATCTCTGTCTCTGTCTCTGTCTCTCTCATTGCATTTCTATTCTGCCCAGCAACTGAAGCCCTCTCGGTAGATTGCAACAATTAACACTATAAAATACTGTACAGTAAAATACAATATGAATATATAAAACTGCAGTAAAAGGTAAAAAACCCCCAATGTCTCGGAAAACATGAAAGTTTTCAAATGATGTTGAAGAGAGTGCACATCATAGTTTCTCTGGAGAACTCATTCTACACCTGAACTGCCACAACAGAAAAAGCCCTCTTAGAAGCTATTCTTTTCACTTCCTTTGGCAGAGGCTTCTTCTTGAGAAGAATCAGGGAAAAAACCCTTACGGTCTGGTCTGGGCAGGTTTCTATGGAAGAAGAGAATTCTTCAGGGAACGTGGCTGCAAGCCATTTAGGATTTTGACTAATACCAGTACCACACATTCATAATTCTTTGGATTGTGCGCACAAAAATATAACACTCTGACTAATTCATAATTATGGTCACTGAACTATAAGAAGTATGTGGTTGAATTAACTCATCCGTTAGCCAACAAACTTTTCCAAATTTAAACTGTTTAAAATTAAATAATGTATGATGTTGTTTTGCAGGCTATTCCCATCCGCTTCCAGTTTTACTCACCTGATCTGTGGGTGTGTAATCGGGCATACTGACACTGTCTATTCTTTCTAGAAAGCTGAAAGAAAATAGAACTATTAAGCATGGAAAATCTACTATTAAAATGCCAACAACTACTTTTCATAATTTTTTATTCTAGGGGCAATATGAAGAATAGGATCTAGGTTGCACCCAAAATGGCCAGACCCCAATTTTTGTCCACAAAGCATCATTTGCCTGATACTTGCTGCAGAAGAGGGATCAGGCATTCTTTTTTGTGTAAACTACCAATATCTCCACACAAGGGAAGATGTTCAACCAAAATGCTGGGACTCATCATTCATCACAAGGTGACTCTTGTGCTTTACCTCCACATTTAGGGATCCTGCATGCCCACCGTTAAAAAAAAAAAAAATCTTACACAAGATAAAGGGTTAGGGTTAAGCTAACTGTTGGCAGGTACAGCTGGGAAAGAAGACACATACTCATATTGCACAGAAAGAAAATAATCAAACACTCTCTTCACAAAACAATGTCTAATTGTAGACTAATCAGTTCAGCTTCCATGTGGGTCTCTGTGGGATGACTGATGCACAGGAGTGCGCTGTGACTAATGAGGGGAGAACATCAGCCCTCTCTGCAGTAAAGATATTCTCCCTCCATTCACAGGCCTTTAAATCTGGTGCTGATGGAGCCTAAAGCTCAAGTTGGTTAATTTTCAGGAAGCCATTATATACTGCCCTGAAGTTCTAGTTGCATCCTGTGTCTGGTGAACTTCTAAATGTGCACAGATACAGATATTTCCTTCATATACAGAGATACATATTTTATCTAACTTCTGCAAATGAAACTAGTTATATTTTTGGATTTTTCCTGCAATTGGAGTTGCAGACATCTCAATTCTAAATGATGTTTCACTTTCAAGTTTTCATTTGAGTATGTGTGAAACTACAGTAGCACTAGCAAAATTCATGTTGGCTGCCATATAGAAAAGCTTTTATAAACTGACTCCATGAAGCCTTACTCAAAACCCTAACCTCAAAGTTGAATGAAGTGGCACTTCTAATGCCAAATGCATTTTCTCGGCAGTAAGTTTAATAGATTTCAGTCAAAGGTGCTTTAAGCAAATGCAATTACAATCATAGTGCTAATTCTACCCCGGTCCACAAATATTCCTTGCATCTTACAGACTGTCCAAACAATAGGATTTTTAAAATCAAGTTATGTGACTGAAAACTACAGATGGACAAACAAATAAATCCTGCCCGCCAACAGAGAACTCTTTCTAGATGAGTCCAATGGTGCTTTCCTTGACTCTAGCATGAACAAGCTTGCATGTTATTGCCAAAATTACTGAAAACACGAATAAGTACAGCAAGGATGCAGGGCTGTTGAAACTATCACACTGGTTACAGAAAATGCCAAGATGAAAAATACTATTTGGTAACTGTCATTATTATACCTATCTTTAGATTTGTAAGTATCTTTAGCAAGTTGCCTAGGAAACCTAGCTGACACTTTGACGAGCAATCTCTAAATTGTATCTCATGTAGGCAGAGAACTCCAAAGTACAGATTTTAGTCTGTACTCTTTTTAGCATCAAAAAGGTTTTGAACTTATAAATAAAATAAAATGTTTACATTTAATGTGAAGAATTTCTGGACTGCTAGAATAAAAAGGGAGGGAAGTAGTCAATTATGCTGCCCTGTCCAGAAAGTTGTAGAAGCCCAGGCTTACTTCTTCCATAGAAATTGAAGGCACGTAAAATAGTTAACTTAGTCTTCAATGAGCTGAAATATCAAATATCAATATGATATTGATATTTATCTCAATATCATCTTCCTTATTCAAAGAATATTTGAAGACACAGAACCTTCTGCAAATATTTTTTCCAGATTCTCAATCTGCTCTTAAAACCATTTTAGCAAGCGTTCTAAGCAGAGTTTATAGCAAGTCCAATCTACATCTAAATTCATCAAAGACTGCATAAAACTGCCTAACATTTGTCTTGCTATTGTTCCTAAACATTTTCAAAATCCTCCTCTGCCTCTGCTTTTCTCTTTTGTTTCTGCATTACCTTGTTTCTTGGCCCCCACTTGGCCCCCCACTTAGCTTTTCTAAGTCACTGCCATTTGGCTCCTTTTCTTCAAGGACCTCTTACAGTGACCATTCCTCCTGGGCCATTATAAAAATTTAGGGAGTTTCAAAGATTTGGTACCTGAATTTGCTAGTTTCCCTTTTCTTTCCCTATTCTTTCCCCTTCTCAATGTATGTTGCTTATGTTGCAAACTATTATTTTAAGTAAACTGCTTTGAGCACTTTGGTCGAATGACAGTATATAAACATAACATGTATTTCTGCAAGTGCGATTTGAGCACTATGTCTTTCTCAAAGTCTGCTGTGTCTGAATTAATTGCCAGACATCAAGGCTGAGATTCTGGATTGTAACAAATAATGTAATCACATGGAGAAAACATTAAGTGATCAGAAGACTGCTTATTTAAAATCATGTTTGCTTTTAACTTCCCTTTCAGTATAATTTAAGTAGCCTGTAGAGGGCAGCAGTAAATAATCGAAGTGTGCTACTTCACATTACATTTTGGCAAAGGAGAATTATCTGGCATTTAGAAGTGTTTACATTTTTGATTTTGAGTCAGACAAGATAAATCTCCCCATTAAAGTGATTTCTCTTTGTGAAGCAATGTAAAATAAATCCATTCTGTATTAACTCATTTCTGTGAATGTTAAAATATAAAATTCATGCTGCAGGTAACGGATAAAGTTTGAACATCTCAAATGTAAAGTTCGAGTTTTGTTCTACATATTACTTTGCTAAGGCGTTTTTTTTGTAGCAAAAATGCTAACACTAATATATTCATTTAATATTTATTAGAAAGAAGGAGCCATAGATGGGAGACTTTGGGTTTCAACATAAACTCTAGGTAACTGCTTTGCTTTCAAAAAGGCTGTCACTGTGTATCAGCTTATTTGATTTATTGCATTATGCCGTACACCACGTTATGTGTATTTTCTCATTTAAATGTATTTTTAAAATGAATATTATTTTAATTATTTTTTAAATAGTATGTTTTGGTTTAAATTCAATGACTTCTGGCATAAATCATAAAGACCCTTTCAATGTCAAGTGGTTGCTATTGTACTCATTAACAATACAGATATTTCAATAATGCAAAAATAAATAAGATATGATTTTAGTATAGACAAGTGCTTCCTTGCACACCTTAATGTGGTGAGGTGTTTTGAAAGTGTCAGAGGAACCAAGAGAAACACTGCAAGGAGGCCAAACTGTCTCATTAGATAGGTACCCCAGCAGGATTACCCAAAGCAGAATGATAAAAGACTGAAACACCAGATTGATGAATTCACCCTTTTTGGTCACCTCAGCAGAAGAAAATGGATAGATCAAATTGTGATGGAGACAAAGAAGCTTCTGAAGAGGAGTTACTGGGCAGCATCTTTAATACTAAGCCAAGATGTAAGTGGCTATAATGAAAAGACCAACTGGATTCCCCTGAAAACTCATCAACATAACCATCATTCAGATCTATGGGCCAACAATAGATACTGAGCAAGAAGTAAAAAACTTTTATGCAGGTGTTCAAGAGGAAATTGATAGGACACCAAACAAGACATACTGATCATTACAGGTGCCTGGAATGTGAACACAGGAAACAAAGCAAAATCCAATGTTCTGGGAGAATTTGGCCTAGGGGTCAAAAATGAAGCTGGAGAATGACTCATAGAATTCTGTGAGGCCAGCAGTGAAAACAACAGCAACAACAGTGGCCCACAGCCTCGAAACATTCAATAAATATTCCAGTTCTGAAAAAAGGAGATGCACAAATGCACAATAACTCAGGACCATGCTCAAGTTGTTGCATCAAGGAATTTTCCCCAATATGGAGCAAAAACCGCCTGAAGTTGGATTCTTGAAAGGAAGAAGCATTTGCATCTTGTATATTTGCTACTGAAGCACACCATAAATACAGAGTCCGGCAAAAAAATGTATACATGTGCAGCAATCGCAATGGACACTTCGAGCACTTTGGCTAATGGCCTCCACTTTGAGCACCTCTTGTAATTGAAGAGGCCAAAGGTAACTAGTATTAATCTCACGATGTCACAAACTTAGTATTGAAATATTTATACAAGTTTTTCTTTTCCTGAAGTGTGTGTACATTTTTTGGTGGACTATGTATATATACTTCATAGACTACAGCAAAGCCTTTTACTGTGTGGGTGATCATAAGGCTTGGATGGTCCTGAAAGAAATGGGCAGCCTTGGCATCTGTGTGCCACGCCCACGAGTAATCAGGTCCTGCATGAACGGAGTGCAAATGGTGCCTTGATTCGGTGTGCGTGACTTGCAGCCTGTGCTCATCCTGAAGGTGCCGCGGAAGTTTTCTAATTGCACAGCCAGACTTCTGCCAACCTTTGTGGTCTTTTTCTTAGTTTGCTTCAAGAAAAAGTCCACGAAACAGAAATGGGATAGGCTCTGGGGAGGATCGTGACATCCCTCGTGGAAGATACCTCAATAATTTAAAATACGCAGATTATATCGTATTACTGGCAGAAAGCAGCAATGAATTGAAGTGAAGAATTACACGTTTACTGTTGACAATGAAACATTTAAACTGTAAAGGATTTTGTATACTTTGGTTCAGGAAGCAATTCAAAGACAGACTGCAGCTAAGAAATTCAAAGAAGTCGGAGACTTGGAAGTGCAGCAATGAAGCATCTAGAAAATATCATCAAGCAATGCTTTATAGTAAAGATAATAATACTGTTTTCTTGGCGGTCAAGGCCTAGATCATCCACGTATTGCACTCCAGGTCACTACATATAGGTGTGAAGGCTGGACAGCGAAGGCAGCTGACTGAAAGAAAATTGAAGTGTTCAAGCATGGTGTTGAAGGTATGGTTTGGGTACACTCTACTGAAAGAAAAACGGAAAAGTGCATCCCACATCATATCAAACCAGAACTTTTTTTGGAAGCAAAATGATCTTTTCTTCACAGAGTCACCGTAAGTCAGAGATAAGTTGGCACATAACAACATA